AATTATGAATATTTACTCCAATCTATTAAAAAAAAATGTTGCTTAGTTTTAAAGATCTAAGCATACTAGGTACAAAGGGACAGAGAAAGCGACTTTGTTTTATACCTATCTACGATGTATCAAGTGATTATGAATTAATTGTAGGAACCTACTTAAATAAGTCAAAATTATCATCAAAGTACCTACTTAATCGTAATAAGAACATTTCTCCGGCCTTCACATATTCTGCTTTGAAAATTTTAATACGTAATGGAACAGATTACAGGACTTTAAACTGTTAAAACTTTCATTTGTCTTATCCTACCTACTTTGTAATAAGTAATATTATTATTACAAACTAATTTCATAATCTTTATTAACAATACATACATTCCTACACAAATAGTACTTACCTATTATTAATATTAATCAATCACATTGTTCATACTTACTTATAATTAGTAAATAATTTGTTTTGTTTTGATTTCTTTTTGGATCGTTACCTGCCTACATACCTATATTTACATGACTAATTGAATCATTTTGTCATTTACTAGCGGCCCCTTCTTCGGCAAGGCATTTCCCGATATTTTTCCTCTTCTTCTCAAAACATAATTATAATAGGTAATATTAAATATTATAAGAACCTTCTCCTATACAATAACGAACACAACGAAATGAGAATTGCCAAAATTGGTCTAGGCGTTGTTGAGTTATGCACTTACATACAATTTACTATTCATTTTTATATTTTTATCGCTCATGGACACCAGAAACAACGGAGAAGTTACGAGAATGTTACCAACCCTTTGGGGATTAGGGCTTTGGAGATTTAGGGATTGGGGAGGGAAAGGATTGGGCTACTTTGACCCTCAATCACACGGCGAAACAAAAGCAGAATTGTATATTTAAAGATGAGAACTACAGTTCTGAATATTTTGACAAAGTAGTACTAATGTTGTACCTACTTTAAGTTATTTTTCACGACCCAATAAACGAATTCCGGACACTAAGTACCTTCAAATAAGGGCTGATTTTTCTTAGGAATAAAATTGTTGCTGTCACAAACATTCTGACGCGACAGCATCATAAATATTCCCCAGATAACTTTTAGATAACCATTGAAAAATCAGCCCTTAACATCACGTTTTTCTTTTAACAAGTTAGTTATAGGTACCTAAACAACGATTCGCCAAATCAACTTTAGGCCGAAGTCTAATTAAAAGAACAACTCAGATTGATTATCAATTAAACCTTATTAAGGTTATCAAAATTACCGTAGGTACATAATGATAACGGGAACATTCGCAATTTGTCAAATAGTCGATAATACGTCTCGCCCGTTATTGCATGTTCTGATAATATTAAATAGGTACCTACATTGATATAAATCTGAAGCGCCATTTTTTTATGTAATAGGTCGGCAAACGAGCAGACGCGGATTAGAGATCTGTAGAATTAGGGGTTAAGGGAAGAGGGGAAGAATTTGGCCTCCGCTATCTCACTCACACGGCGAAACGCAACGCTGGTTGCTGGTTGTTTCACGCCGGTTTTCTGTGAGACCGTAGTATCACTCCAGTCGAGTCGACCCATTTGTGCCAAGTAAATAGTAAATAGTAAATATAACAAGTATAAGTACTTTAGATATTTACGTGATTCGGGATACGAGAAACGAAGCTGTAGTAAGAACGGGGTAGTTTCTACTAAGTAAGTTTTTTATGAGGGAAAATCGTTTTTATCTACCTCGTTCCTTCTCCTGCTCCGGGCCAAGGTCATGCATTATTGCGCTTAACCCGCAACCCTGGCTAGAATTTCACACTTCCTCACTGTCTGCAAAGGCTTGGAGGAGTCATTCGATGATTTATCACATGTTAGCTATAAGAACGTCGCTTCTGACCGAAGGCCTCCTCCAATGACTCCAGCAGGTAATATCGGCCCTGTTGCGCCCCATCTGTGGTACCGAGAGATGATCTCCGGCCACATGATGGCCGCCCGAACAGAACCAGATCCGAGCGAAGCTATTGGCTCTTTGAGGCGCGCGCGGATCGCTACGCGCCGTACGCTCGGGCCTGGTTCTGGTCAGGCTGCCCTTACTCGTCGACCTTCCAAACAATAATTTGCCTCACTCGACATCGAAATAATAAAGAAAAAGAAGGAGTAAAAACAAAAAAATACACAGAATTTTTTTTTTATAAATGAAATTTTATTAAAATTTACAATTTTCAACTAAATTTTGTTCATAGATTTATAAAACAAAAATACATTATAACAAAGTCAGTACTATAAATAGATAACTCGGTTGCATAAAAATCGCTTATTTTATTTATAAACTTAAAAAAATACTTATTTAATAAAGCTCTAAAATATCTTAACAATTTTATTTGCCTATATATATTATTAGATAAAAAATGTACAAAATTGTAAGAAATGTGATTATTTTATATATTATAACCATATATTTTTCTTAGGGAGAACTGTTTGCCTCAGTACCTTAAGATCGAAGGCTAATCTTAATCACAGAGGTCGTCTAGACCATGCATGTACTTAAACAACAATTATATTAAAAAAAAAATTCTTGGTGCTATTATTGAAAATAACAGCTTATTAATATTTTTTTTAAACGTTGCCTCGCTTTAGTATTTTTTCCTGTGTCTTGGGTGCGGTTACAAACATACAATTTCAAATACACATGACACCCAGACCCGGAACAACAATTTGTGGATCACGCAAAGAGTTGTTCCGTGCGGGAGTCGAACCCGCGACACGTTGCACGGCAGTCAGTTGCCCAGCCACCGCACCAACCGTGCGTTATCAGTCATTATTCACGTGTAGCCGCGAAAAGCTCGACCAGTCTCAAGTCATGGCGGGAACCTTATTTATAATTGCGACATCGCCTCGACGCGAACTGCTTTTCTCAGTTTAATCACGTTAGTCGTTATTCTCAATAAATTAGATACGTTTCAAGATAGTTGTAATATACAAAAACTTCATAAGATATAACATATTTGTATAAAAATCTACAATATTGTCCATGGTTGGTAACATAGTACCCTGCTTTAGTTAATGAGGTAATTTTATATTTAGGTATCTTTAGGATCTATTTTATCACCTCTATAAAGTCCTAAATAAACTTTTGTGGCACCTAGTTTATCATCATCATCATCAGCCTATAAGTGCCCACTGCTGAGCAAAGGCCTCTTCTCATACGGAGAAGGTTAGAGCATTAATCACCACGCTTGCTCAATGCAGGTTGGCGATTTCAAACTTACAATTAGAAATTAAAAGTCCAGGTTTCCTCACGATGTTTACCTTCACCGTATGTCAGTGGTGTCTAAATAATTAAGTTTTTAATTTTAAATTTTAAAAAGGTTGGAAAGGATTCAAGAATTGAGATCCAAAACTTAACAAAATTTTAACAAATTTATATTTTATTTATTAGTTTTTACTAACAAAAATTTATATTCAGTATATATACAGATATAATAAAAAATAATACATAGGTGATACGTAAGTACATAATATTTATACAAAATAAATAGGTAAAAACTTAAAGTTGCTTAATTTTATTACAAATTTAATATAAAATAAAAAAAAACAAATTAGTTATTTCTTAACTATACTTACAGTCTCACTTTTTTATTAACATGCAACCCTATGTCGATTGTATTGCCAGTTCAAAATACATAATTCTACCTATAATAAATACAAAAATTATACCAGGTAGATTAATTGGTGTAACATGAATTAAGATTAGGTACTTTGGCTCTGAAGAAATTGATCGATAGTTCCAAACCAGTGAAAAACTATTGACGTTTTATTCTAGGTTATTATTGGTTAAAGATTTTACATCAAAGTTAATCAGTAGGGTAAAATTAACCCCCTTTTAACCCGGTATTCAAAACTAATAATATAATAACGTCAGAAAAAGAAAACATTTTATATTATGTGTTATGTCATATGTTTGAGATGTATACAAAGATATATACGAACGAATATATACAAACCTCTTTTACCAAAAGAGTTAAACTCATTACAAAACTTTGCCTAACTCAGGATCCAACTGCATTTAGGACTAGCAGGCAGCTATGCCGCCACTAATCTTCACATGAAACATTTTCATATGTCACTAAAATGTACAAGACACTTTATTTATTACAATATAATACAAAAGTTATACATTAAAGAAACTCAGTACATTAAAAACTAAAATGGTAGAAAACTCAGCATATATACAGCGTGTTACAAAACAGCGTACTAACAGCCTTTTATTATTTACAATTATTTAGAAAAGAAAATCTAACTTTTACAATTTCAAGGCACTTAGGGCTGATTTTTGAATGGTTAGATAAAAGTTATCTGCGGAATAATTATAATGATGTCACGTCAGAATGTTTGTATAAGACAGTGACAGCAACAATTTTATTCGTCAGACAACATTTATCTGAATATTGAATTTTCAAAAATGCTAAAAATATATTAAATAGGTATATGTGTTCTTTACATTTCATTTTAGAACACACGCATTTGGAACTTTTTATGGCAGTAATAAATGTTGGGAAGCTCATAATTTCAAAGGTCATAAGGGCAAAAGTTCATAAGTTCACGGCCCAGCTTCTAACCAAAATCGGGACATTTTCGTTCCTGGGCCATCTAGCGGACACACGGGCCAATATTATATCAACAACCTTTCGCCACCAAGGACAGATGCGGTTAAAAAACTTAGGGCTGATTATTCAATAGTCAGATAAATGTTATCTGAGAAATAAAATTGTTGCTGTCACTGTCTTATACAAACATTCTAACGCGACAGCATCATAATTATTTCGCAGATAACTTTTATCTAACTATAGAAAAACCAGCCCTTTCTCAGTATTATGATGAGACATTGAGTCTGCACAATGTTTAGCTATTAGTATAAGGTGAATTGTAATTAGTGATTGATATGTAAACACGTCATTGTACTCATGATCATAAACAACTCTCCCACCGATTGTTTTTTTTTACTCTATAATTTTATTTTTGACAGCAACGTTAAGAAAGAAAACGGTCTTTAAAAGGGCGTATTGTGAGGTGTCTAGAGCCACGAACTTGAACCGTGTTCCCGGTGCTAACTGGACTTTTTTTATTTATTTTGAAATATTATTGCGTAATTAAACATTTTATAGGTAATATGTTAAATGTAATTATTAGAGTTTTATATACATGATAATATAAGGTTAAGTCATTTGCAAGCAAAATTTACCTCACTATAAATGGACTTAAAAATGGATTTTTTTAAATTCAATTCCATATTTTTACGATTAAATAGCTATAAAACTGAAATCGGATTTTATTAGTCGAAGTCAAAATATAAAAGTCATTAAACAAATTGATCATTGAAAGTCGTTGTCAGATACAAGCTACGTCAAGGAAAACGCTCACATTGGGTGGCGCTGTAGTCGTTTTAGGATCACTAAGAACATTAGAGTATAACTATGCTATTCTCCAAAAATCCGCATACATACATATAAAATCGCGCGTCTTTTATTCTGTACAAAACTCATCACTAGTTTCACTTACTTAACATTCACTATCACTGTCTCTTTGTCTGTGTGTCACTAGGATTCTAAAGTTTCAGTGGACTGAGAATTCTGTGAGTTTATAAGCGGCGCAGTGTCGGGCGATTTCATTAGTTTTCTAACTAGTACGGCAATACCTGCTATGAGTAGAGCTACTCCGATTGCCTGAAATCAAAAACACGCCAGTTATAACAACATAAATAATACAACAAAAATGGGGGAGAGCCATGCTTCGGCACGAATGGGTTGGCTCGACCGGAGTGATACCACGGCCTCACAGAAAACCAGCGTGAGACAATCACAGCGTTGTGTTTCGCCGTGTGAGTGAGGTTACCGGAGGTCCAATCATTTATAACATATATTTACGCGGGTATTAAAGCGGAAAATTATTATTTGAATACCTTGGTAGACTTGACGTTTCGACCTGATTTGTTACTCTGTCGGTTCTTTATTTTTTCCAGTCTAGGATCTCTGCACGTTAATCAAAGTCAATATCATTTATTTCAACGAAACCATAAACAGGTACTTTTGAAACATCAAAACATAATATTATTATAGTCTGTCAGGCAGTTCGTCAGCGAAGCTGTCATTCTATGAAATGATAGCTCGTTACTTTTATTTTTAATCCTTGACGACCACGTCCGGTAAAGTGACAAAAATTGTCGATTATGGAACAAAGTGGGCCACTTGAGTTGTATAACAGACTCTGGCGGCCATAAGATTAAAATAACAATTGCACAGCTTCAAAAAACAATTGTTCTGAGATTGTTCATGTCTAATGTCATAAAATGCTTACCATCAACTAATTTGTCTCATCATTGGCCGAGTTGTAAAATTGAATACTTTTATCCAAATGTCAAAAACGATACTTTTTTATGAAATCTATATGAAACTCCAAATTATGAAGTCATAGTATTTTTGCGTCAAATATGTTGTTAACTAATTTAAAGATTACCTATCTATAAAATATCGAAAATTTTGAGTATCGACAGATTGAATAAAAGTACTTATAGTTAGATACTTTTCCATATTTTATTGTATTGAAACGTGGAATTAAATTATTTTTGATTTAATAAACTACTAAACTACCGTAAATAGTAGGTGTTGTCTACTATTTATGGTAGTTTTTGAGTACTTACAGTGAGCACATAGAGTCCGTAAGGCACCCAGTAGCGCAGTCGCAGCGCGGAGCGCGCCATGGCGGCGTACTCCGGCGTCGTGCCGGTCTCCTGCCGGAACCTGAACATCGGCACCATCGTGTCCGGGTCCGGCAGCACGTTGTTTATACTGGAGGAAGAGGGGCGTACATGAAATGTGTTTATTAGCAACACATGATCGCCGGGAACAAAAAATGTACATTATAACAAACAAAAATTACAAGGTTAAAAGCCGGGGCGGGTCGCTAGCGCTTAATGTATATTATAAAAGAAATTCGTGTTACTTACACTATTCATAACTCAAGAACGGCTGAACCGATTAGGCTGAAAATTGGTAGGGAGGTAGCTAAGAACTAGGAGTAGGATAGGGTAAAGTAAGGTAGATAGTGTAGTGTAAGTAGTGTAGGGTAGATAGTGTAGGGTAAATAGTGTAGGGTATAGGCAGTGTAGGAAAGGTAGTGTAGGGTAGGCAGTGCAAGGTCGGCAAATTAGGGTAGGTAGTGCAGGTAGTCAAATGACGAGATAAGAGCTAGTACAATATAAAAGAAACTAAATGAAAAACATGGTAAATGATACTAACGTGATCCCACTAACTCGGCGCACGAGCAAGTTGATCTGCAACTGCGCGGCTACAGACAGCGGCATCCCCGTATACATCTCCAGCGCTAGTCTGAAGTTCATGTCTCTGTAAATTATTAATTACCGTCAATAATACGGTAGTTTCCAACTAGTCAAATTCAATACTTTTATCCAAACGTCAAAAACGATACTTTTCTATGAAATTTGTATGAAAAACTGAGCTATGACGTCATAACATTTTTGCGTCAAATAGCTTACTTACTTATTTATTAATAAATAGCTTAAAAAAATCTAAAACTTAGTGTACCGGTCAATCGATGAATAAAAGTAATTTTTCAATATTTTATTATATTCAAACGTCGAATTAATTTATTTTTGACCTAGGAAACTACCCAATTAACTATTGAAAATAACAACTTATTCACGTGATTTTACTAAAAAAATCTAGTTTCGAGTTTAATGAGCTGTGTGCACGTTGCGCCGACTGAAACTTTCGATATATCATCATCATCATCATCAGCCTATAAGTGCCCACTACTGAACAAGGGCCTCTTCTCATACGGAGAAGGTTAGAGCATTAATCACCACGCATGCTCAATGCGAGTTGGCGATTTCAAACTTAAAATTAGAAATTATAAGTCCAGGTTTCCTCACGATGTTTACCTTCACCGTATGTCAGTGGTGTCTAAATAATAGTAGAAAGTATTTAGAGGTATGAAAGAAAAGGGTGGAAAGTTCCTCATCCTCCATTAAAAAAGGAGGATCCGCCGACCAGACAGGTGTTATGTCTGGTGGTTTCTCTGTAAATTGTTACAATAAAATTCCAAGTAGTGTATTGAATCTTAACGAACGAAAATTTAAAACTTATATTAAACGCAAATTGACTACTACTACAGAAAGCATACTACAAACTTTCAGATTATATTGAGGATAAGAATTCCTGGCAGCGTGTTGATTCGGCTCCACTGGACAATACACAAATATAGTAGTTACTAAAATTCTCAAAATTAATATATATATTCAAAGATTAAATATAGAACTCTTAAAGATTGTGAGTACCATGTTCGAGACGACAAAGCAGTAAAATTTAATGATAGGTCCCCTCATTTGTTCTTTTTTTACCACTTTTCTCTGTATTGTTCTCACATAAGTGTACCATAATGTATACTAAATGTTATATTAGTGAAATTGTAAAAGAAATATTTAAAAAAAAGGAGTAACGAATGGAGTTTCTTGCTTGCTCGTTCTTCTCCATTCGAATCTACAATTTGGAATGAGCACCTAGCTTCACTGACGAACTGACTGACAGACTACTTTTCTTTTTTGACGTTTCAAAAGTACCTATTTATGGTTTAGTTGGAATAAATGACTTCGACTTTGACTTATAGAAAAAATCATTTAAATCAAATCAATCAAAATCATTTATTCCAAATAAACCATAAATAGGTACTTTTGAAACGTCAAAATAGAATAGTAGTCTGTCAGTCTGTTCGTCAGTGAAGCTAGGTGCTCGTTCCAAATTGTAGTTTCGAATGGAGAAGAACGAGCAAGAAACTCCATCGTTACTCTTTTAAAAAAAATATTTGTTTTAAAATTCATCAATAATACATTTTTTATACATTACTGTACCCCTGTGTGAGAACAATGCAGAGACAAGTTGTTAATAAAAAGGAACAAATTATGGTCTATTTAATCTATCATTAAAATTTTAATCCTTTGTTGTCTCGTACATGGCGCTCACATATGCGTACTCACAATCCAAAAGAATGCTTCTATATAAACTCATTCAAGGTTTCATTAATTTTGAGAATTTTAATAACTACTGACTACATATTTGAGAATTGTCCAGTGGAGCCGAACCAACATGCTGCCAGGCATTCTTATCCTCAATATAATCTGAAAGTTTGTAGTATGCCTGTCTACATAATTCGCGTTTAATATAAGTTTTAAATTTTCGTTCATTAAGATTTAATACACTTCTTGGAATTTTATTGTAACAATTTACACAGAACCCCATAAAGGATTTCTGTACTTTGGACAGACGGAATCGTGGCACAGCCAGCCTATCTTTGCCTCTAGTATTAAAATTGTGTCTATCGCTTCTTTTTTCAAATAATTGCAAATTTTTCCTTACGTACATAATATTTTCATATATAAACTGACAAGGTACCGTTAGGATATTTATCGTTTTAAATAGTTCTCTCAGAGATTCACGAGGGGACAAGTTATATATCGCTCGGATAGCCCGCTTTTGCAAAATAAATATTGAATCTACTTCCGCAGCTCGACCCCATAGCAAAATTCCGTACGACATAATGCTGTGAAAATAGCTAAAATAAACAAGCCTTGCTGTGTTCACGACTGTGAGCTGTCTAATCTGTCTAACTGCAAAAACAGCTGAGCTCAGTCTTCCCGAAAGCGTCTTTATGTGGGAACCCCATTGAAGTTTATTGTCTAGCGTAATACCTAGGAACATAGTCTCGTTAACAAATTCTAACTTTTGCCCATTTAAAATTATGTCACAATCATTATTGTGTACGTTGGGCAAGCTAAATTTAATACATTTTGTTTTTTTCTCGTTAAGTGCTAAATTATTGACTGTAAACCAATTATGAACTCGATGAATGGAGCTGTTTACTTCGTCCAAATTATTAACACGTCGACCTATTCTAAAAATTAATGATGTATCATCTGCAAACAGCACCATTCTTGGCTCGGTTTTAAATAGAAATGGCAAGTCATTAACATACACTAAGAAGAGAAACGGACCCAAAATTGAACCTTGCGGTACGCCAATTTTTATCTCAGAGCCCCGTGAGTTAGAACCACCTACATGAACTCTCAGCTGCCTATCCTCTAAATATGACTTTAGTAGACGGAGTGCAGTATGTCTAATCCCGTAATGATCTAATTTCAGCAAGAGTGTTTCATGATCAACGCAATCGAACGCCTTTGAGAGGTCGCAAAAGACACCAACAGCATCCTGTGCTTCCTCCCAAGCACCGAATACCTCCTTTATCAAAGTGACACCGGCGTCAGTTGTACAACGACCTTTAGTGAAACCGTATTGTTGGTGATGAAAGATGGCATGTTTATCAAAGTGATGAAGCATCCGAGATAGCATTAACTTTTCAAACACTTTGCTAAGAACCGGTAGAACAGACACAGGCCTATAGTTGTTTGGTTCCTTAGTGTCACCATTTTTGAATAATGGAATAACTTTACTGTATTTCATTAGGTTGGGGAAGACACCGTCATCTATACTTTTATTGAAAATCAAAGCCAGATACGGCGCTAAAGTTCGGATAAGTGATCCGCAGACTTTCCCCAAAGGTCCTCAGTTGATTTAATCTTGATTTCTTTAAAAACCTTTATTATCTCTAAAGGATTAGTATAATGAAAACTAAAATCGTCTTTGCATGATTTGACATTTTCTCTAAGCAAAGTTACCGATAGTCTAGCTGATGATTCTAAATGAGCAGTTGTTGAGACAGGTATATTAGCAAAAAATGCCTCAAACTCCTGAGCTACATCTTTGCTTGACGAAATCTGTCCCCTTTCAGTGTTTAAACAAAATTCCGAATTTTTTAATCGTTTCCTACCTGTCTCATTCTGTATTATTTTCCACGTAGCCTTTATCTTGTCATCAGCTGATTTTATTTTATTACTGATGAAAAGTCGCTTTGCGGCTTTGCATACTATTCTAAATGTTTTTGAGTACAATTTTACATGTTGATGAAAATCGGTCAAGCCGTTTCGGAGGAGTTCAATGACATACACACGAATTATATACATAATGATATAGAATAAATATTAGGCCGTTGACGATGGTGGTTAGTTTATTACCAAAAAAAAATGCATGGGTACTCACTCAGTGGCATTCAAGCCATCGATTTTAGAGGCGTAAATGGGGTCGGCGTGGAGGAAGTGTGGCAGGGAGACGAAGGCCGGGGCTCCGAACCGACAGTCCGACACGTTCAGGGCTCCAGCTGGCAGGCACTCTGCGTCCCTTACCGTGTCACAATAACATGCCTGGAATAAACACAATGTTTAAATGCCTGGAATAAACACATTTTTACACGATATCGCCTCTTTAAAATAGTACCCTGTGAAATGACAATATCTTACTTCTTACTTATATTATAAATGCGAAAGTTATGTTTGGATGTTTCTTACTCAATCACACCAAAACGGCTGGACGGATCTGGATGAAATTTGGCACAGGCACATAGATACACTCCGGAATAGGATATAAGCTACTTTTTATCAACATACCACTCGGGTGACACCGAGTTTATAAGTAACTAGCTTTTGTGTTTCGCGACTTCGTTCGCTTGTAATAGTGACTTCCTGTAGATTTTTGGTATAAAAACTATCCAATGTCCTTTCTCGAGTTCCAAACTATGTCCGTACCACACACAAATCGGTTCAGTAGTGTAGGCGTGAAGAAAAGACAGACAGGCAGAGTTACTTTTGCATTTAGATAATAGTAGTTTGGATTAAAGGTGTAGATAGGTTACATAAACAAAATTCGATCTTCATAAACGGAACACTAACGCACACGTGAATAACTAATATGATTAGACGTCAAAGTGGGATGGCATGATTCATTAATAGTCAGTAAAAAATAATACAATCGAATTGAGAACCTCCTGCTTTTTTTGAAGTCGGTTAAAAAGAGACAAATGACTGCACTAACTGGCTGCCGAGTATTCGTTTTCTCTTGTGTCGTGAGTGCGTCAATCGGGAATCGAACCCGCGACACGTTGCATGGCAGCCAAGCAATGCCTACATAGATATAGCCTGTATAATAGTTAAACAATATTATTTTCCTCATACTAAAAAATATATGAATTATAGGTAGACTTTTAGAATATAAACTTGTAAACTATATAATATTATAAATGCGAAAGTAACTCTGTCTCTCTGTCTTTTCTTCATGCCTATACTACTGAACCGATTTCTGTGAAATTGGTACAGACATAGTTTGGAGCTCCAGAAAGGACATAGGATAGTTTTTATACCAAAAATCTGCAGGAAGTCACTATTCCACGGTAACGTAGTCGCGGGCAACAGCTAGTATTTAATATTAACTAAAATTCGCGGGTTACTCACGTGTAGATGTTGAGAAAAGCTCTACTAGTTTCGAACCACAGAGGGGTTCTTCCTCATTCCATCAACCACAGAGGGATTGGTATGAGGAAGAACCCCTCTGTGGTTCGAAACTAGTAGAGCTTTTCTCAACATCTACACGTGAGTAACCCGCGAATTTTAGTTAATTTAGTATGTCTCACGATAGTTATTATAAAAACATAGCAAAACGGTACGGGACGGTAGGGCTATAATGAGGAAGAACCCCTCTGTGGTTCGAAACTAGTAGAGCTTTTCTCAACATGTACACGTGAGTAACCCGCGAATTTTAGTTAATTTAGTATGTCTCACGATAGTTATTATAAAAAAGTATTTAATATGATGAAAAAACAAACAGTTAACATTATATTTATGTACATTTTAAAATTCTTTTTACTTGTCTTTAAATAATGCTAATTAAATGTAAGTAGGTACGAAACATAGCACAAAAGATATAATAATTATGTCATACATATTTAATTAAGATTTTTATTATGGTAACTGTAAATAAACAAAGCTATATCACGTGAATGCAATGCGCAAGCGCCGCTATTTGTGGCAACGTATGTAGATGCTAATGTAGTTATTAAAATTAATTTTTGGTTACTCTATGGCTAGCGGGGAAATGAGTAGCCTCAACTGACATGGACCAAAGTAGTTACGGGTGCGTGGAAATTAAAGATTGGGGAGGGATAGGAGGAGGGGAAGGATGGGCCTCCGGTAACATAATAAGTGTCGGAGAGCCATGCTTCGGCACGAATGGGTCGGATCAACCGGAGTGATACCAAGGCCTCACAGAAAACCGGCGTGAAACAACCACATCGTTGTGTTTCGCCGTGTGAGTGAGGTTACCGGATGCCCAATCCTTCCCCTCCCCCAATCCCTAAATCTCCAAATCCCTTATCCCTAAAAGGTCGGCAACGCACTCGTCACTCCTCTGTTGCGGGTGTCCATGGGCGGCGCTAATTGCTTACCATCAGGTAATCCGCCTGCTCGTTTGCCGGTATATTACATAAAAAAACATAACGTCGTTTTTCGCGCCGGTTTTATTTGAGGCCGTGGTATCGTTCCGGCCGAGCCGATCCATACGTGCCGAAGCTTGGCTCTCCCACATATATTATATTTATTGCAATCCCGTGCTAAATAAAGATCACTTATCAATTATGAATAATACTGTGTCATATGGAACAAAAATATATGTATAAATAACGTACCATATGCGGATATTTGTATCCGTTGTCAAAGACTGAGTCATTAGCTGCATACTGCACCCCGTCGATACCTTGCACTTGTACATCCCGGTCTTTTGCGAGAGTTAGGTAACTGGAAATAATAAAAGTATATCATAGGAGTAAATTTCAATATCCATCCGTAGATCAGCCGGGGCTGCGGGGTAAGAGTAACCATGGAGTTTCTTGCTCGTTCTTCTCCATCGGAATCTACACTTTGGAACGAGCGAATAGCTGCACTAAGAGGACTGGCCGACAGACTGACACTTTATATCTTTAAAATTTTGTTTGACGTTCAAAAGTGCCTGTAAGAGTCTAATTGAAATAAATGATTTTGACTTTGACTTTAAACGCAATGAGGCACCGCGACCTCGGCCCAGAGCAGGAGAAAGAACGGGGGATTTTAGTCAGTAAGAGAGAGACACTCACTCCAACCCGACGTGGACCCTGGGCGTGAAAAGTCATTTGATGATTATCCACTTACAAAAAAAACCACGGATCAAACAAAATCGGTAATCGCTTAGACCCATGTAATAGGTGATCATTATTCAATGCTTTTTTTAAAACATCGTGGTGGCCCGAAGGTTATGGCGTCCACTTCTCATCCATGAGGGTTCGAAACCTGGCAAGTACCGTGACTTTTTAGAAAAATAGAAAAAATGAAATTAAAAAAATTGCGAATTTTATGGACCTAGTGCAGTGTCCCAAAAATTATGATGTCGAAGACGCACGTCGATCTGGTCACCCCATTACGGATAAAATGGAAGCCATTATGGAAAACGTGGAGCAAGATCGACATATCGATAGTAACGACGTAGCTAAAGAATTGGGAATTAACCACAAAACAGTTTTGGCGCATTTGAAAAAACTGCGTAGACAAAAAAGCTCGATACTTGGGTATATCACGAGCTCACTAAAAGAGCCCTAATGAAGTATGTGCTCATTATCATTTGTGATTCTGTATTACGACGTTAGAGAACCGAACCGTTTTTGAAGATGCTGATAACTGGTAATGAGATCACGTACGACAAGAGCGTGCGAAAAAGGTACAAGGCAGGTCAGGCTTCACAGGCTGTGGCGAAACCAGAGTCAACTGGCTATAAGGTGATGCTGTGTTTGGTGAAATTGGAAGGGCATTGTTCTATTTGACTTCTTTTCATTTTTACTTCTGATCATCCACGAATAAGTAGTTTTTCTATACTAACAACCGGTTTCTGAAAGGCTTGTCAACGCTAAAATTAACTAATCTCCTGTTAAATCTCTTGTCAAGTGATCTGATTGGTTGTTGATAATTCAGTCAACCAATCAGACGACTTGACCAGAGATTAAATTCATTTTAACATTGATCAGCCTTTCGGAAACCGGGTGTAAGAGTATGTAACGTAACAGAAAAAACATGGTACCTAAGGTCATACCGGTCATTTTTTAAACCTTATCTTGTGTTTGTAACTTAAGCATGCTAGAGGTCATTGACCACATAATTAAGGCCGCGCATACGCATCGCTACGACAGGTTTTTGGTAATAAGTTGAATTTTAACGGTACTTCTAGCAGTGTTCGGTAGTGGTCATGGTGTTCAGAATACTATAGTAGGGTGATTGGTGATCAGTGACCGATATTTAAGAACATGATTGTACTGATGATAACAACTATCCCAAAGAAACTATTTTTCTATACTCATTAGTTTTCTTTTTATTACTACTTATAACACTTCACCCGCCCGCCTTGCATCGCCCGATCAGCTGTTAGCGGCGAGGCCGCGCGACCTCGTTTGAACTTTGCACAGTAATTTTACTATATAGTAATAAAAGTAAAACCAATGAGTACATAGAAAAGAGTTTTTTTGGGAATATAATGTAATGTTATCATGAGTACAATCACGTGTGAAATACACCGCTGTGGTTATTTCACGCCGCTTTTCTGTGAGGCCGTGGTATCACTCGGGTCGAGTCGACCCATACGTGCCGAAGCTTGGCTCTCTCACGCTTATTTGTTACAAAATCCCTTCACACTTTAACTTTTAAAAAAAGTCAGCCACTCAATCAAATGGCAAATCATTCGGCTTCGAACAACATTTTAATCAACAAGAGTTGTTTGAGATAATATTTTGAACTTTGTTTTGTTTTAAACAAATGCAAACAAAATTAAGATAAAGCTTTATCAAACAGCGGATTGTTTGTTTTGTTTTGATAAAAGAAAAACAAAGGAAACACTTGTATGAAAATACATAAATACAGTACAATTACGCACTATATCCGTTTTCTCAAGTGGTCTGTAGTAAGCAGCCTTATCTCAAAGAGATAAGAGCGAGACTGCATTATCAGTTCTAAAAAGAAAATATATGGATAAGTGTGGGAAAGCTATGCTTCGGCACGAATGGGTCGGTTCGACCAGAGTGATACCACGGTCTCACAGAAAACCGGCGTGAAACAACCACAGCGTTGTGTTTCGCCGTGTGAGTGAGGTTACCGGAGGCCGTCCCCTATCCCGATCCCTAAATCTCCAAACGCTTTTTGTGAAAAGAGTTTTTGTGAAAGTCTGAATGATTAGTTCCTATTTGTTTGTTTTTTTATTTTATGTTTGTATGTTTGTTTGTTATAAGTTCGTTTCCTTTATGAATTTATTATATCTGTGTTAATGTAACTGGATCAAATCCATGTTCATATATTTAAAAATAAATGATTAAAAAACGAACCGACGTTTGCTACTCCTTCATGTAAAAGTACTCAACGAATAACTACCGCTATCGAAAGATCAACTTACGTGCAAATATCAGAAGCAAAAACATTTAGCTCTGGTTGTCCATACTCCGGTGCCCAGAGCTCTCCTGTGGACCCCTTCACTTCGCCACATACGTCTCTGTAGTCAGTCCTATTGGCGTATCTCCACTCCTGCACGTTTCCAAGCTGGGAGAAGTCACTGGCTCCTGTATTTATGTTGAACGAACCGTCAAACTCTAAGGAGCCGTTGCGCTGTGAAATAATTAAAGAGATAATTAGGCTATTTAACTAAAACTTTGATTCTTCAACCACGCAAAATGCCTTAATCATCATCATCATCATCATCATCATCATCATCATCATCATCATCAGCCTATAAGTGCCCACTACTGAGCAAAGGCCTCTTCTCACAGGGAGAAGGTTTGAGCATTAATCACCACGCTTGCTCAATGCGGGTTGGCGATTTCAAACTTATAAGTCCAGGTTTCCTCACGATGTTTACCTTCACCGTATGTCAGTGGTGTCTAAATAATCATACAAAATGCCTAAATATCCAAACATAATTAGGTATGTCAATGTGTCAGGCCTACAATCGGGTCAGGAGGTGTAATTAGCATTTATCAAAACATAATCCAGCGTGAAAACTTTAATAAAAATTTCACGTGACTGATTAAAACTCGGTGATAATCAGTTCAGTATTTCGGACATCATTGCGTCACAGATATACTAACAATGTTATAACTCTCGTTTTAACTAACGGTTTTACAACAACAATCTATGGATCACACAAAAAGTTGATCCGTGCGGGAATCGAACCCGCGACACGTTGCGCGGCAGCCAGTTGCTCGGCCACCGAGCTAACCGTGCAGTCAGAACTAGAGTATTGTTACTTGATAGTCAACCTTGACCAAGTAACCAAATAGTTACATCATCACTTATAGGGGTACACTGCTTAGCAAAGGCTCTTGTCAGTGGGCACGTATGGGCTGATGATAATGATAACTTGGATAAAGTCACATTGGTGCTGGCAGGTTTCGAAACCGCACCCTCATGCCACCAAGGCTTAATTTCGTTACCCTGTATAACAGTACTACTAATAAAAATGTTAACAACATTCCCGGCCATTTAAAGTTAGTTAGGTAGTTACACAATGGAGAAAGCCGCTCGTACGATCCATGAAGGAATTCTGCAGATCGTAACTGTGTGACGTAATCTATCATTTACTGCTTAGCGGCCAACGTGTATTTGTTTTAGGATGCTTCTTCATATTGCATTTTTATATTTTTACTAGTTGACCCGGCAAACTCTTGGCCTCAAATATAGGACCTATAGATCTGGAGATTTAGGGCTGATTATCAATAGCCATTATATAAATGTGTTATCTGAGGAATAAAATTGTTGCTGTCACTGTCTTATACAAACATTTTGACGCGACAGCATCATAATTATTCCCCAGGTAACTTTTATAAACCCATTGAAAAATCAGCCCATAGTGAAACTAACGAGCAGCATTTCATTTTCATATATAAGACTAGCTACCCTCGCGCGGTTTAACCCGCTGCTCGGCTCTAATTAATCGTAGCGTGATGTTTTATAGCCTATAGCACTCAAGACCATTGTAGCTATCTATCAGTGAAAGAATTTTGGGAATCCGACCAGTCTTTCCAAAGATCACCCCCTACATACAAACTTACAAATTTTACCTCTTTATAATATTAGTATAGAAGATTGAGTCTTTTTTGTTTTAAATGGGTGTTGGGTTGAATCTGTGTTACGCCATCCTATTAGCAAATGAAACAGGTAAGTCACCCCCTGCAACCAAGAAACGGCTTAAGAAATAGGGGGCGATCAGTCAGGAGACGCGACACGTTGCGCGACAGCCAGTTGCCTAGCCACGGCACCAATCGTGCCGACAAAAAGATCGATTATTTGTAACAGACAGCGGGATCATTCAGGTTGAGAGATTGGACTCTATACTCGAAATTTTAATTCCATTCCACATTTGACAATTTCAGTGTTGCAACGTTATAACACGTAATAAATAGTGACGTTGCGAAATTATTCGATATGGAAATCGAATTTTCATGAATCGATTCCTCTCGTTCATAAATTTTTTCTCGTAAACTAAGTTTATCAGGAAATAAAATATTTGTGAACCGATAATTTAGTTTTGACAATTAATTAGCGATCTGAGACTTTTCTTTTGTAATTGTGTGTGAAATTAATAAAAAATGTGATCATGAAGGAGCATTACAAATAAAACAGACATTTTATAAATTGTCGCCGTCATCGCTACCGCTATCGCTGTTGCTTTCTGTAACATTTATTATGAACTGTGTGTGTGATATTCATTGTCAACTAACATATCTAGCTTACTAATTTTTTCCTCTTCTTTGACAACATGGGATACGTATTGAGACCATTTGGAAACCGTAATTTATTGAATGCCTTTCTGAAACTGATTCACGGATTGTTTATCGATTTTTGTGTTCATCACTACACTGTTATATGTGGTATCATTATTTTACAAAATGACAGTGGTCAATGTCAAATCAGGAATCGAATTAAAATTCTGACTATTGTTAGGAACTGGAGAAATTCCGATGCTTGTATGGTTACATAAACAAAAAATACAGTTAATATATTAGGCGGGCTTGTTGCCTTAAGTATTATTATGGAATTAGGGATAAGAGGTCCAGGAATAAAGGAAAGTAATGGGTCAGTCACTACTAGGGTTGCCAACCGTACTCTAAAATAGAGTATTGTCCTCTATATCGGGTGGTCGTACTCTATAATTTGTATCACTTATAAGGTAAGCTAAAATACTCTTTTATACAAAATAGTGAAAGAGAAGAGAGAAACAGAGCTTCATTGAATTTAATCAAAAATGAGAGTTAGAATGTTTAGACTCATTCAATACCTTTAAAAATAATGAAATTTGTTATGTGCCGCAAAAAGTATGTACTAAAAAATACAGTTTTAAAAGATTAAAATAAATGATACTCTTTTTTAACCGACTTCCAAAAAAGGAGGAGGTTCTCAATTCGACCGTATATATGCTTTTTTTATGTTTGTTCGCCGATATCTCCGTTATTTATGAACCGATTTTGATAATTCTTTTTTTTATTGGAAAGGTGATAGTCCCAGAATGGTCCCATGTTAAGGAAATCAGGATCTGATGATGGAAGACCAGAGAAATCGAGGGGAACTTTCAAAAATTGTAGGGTCGAGTGGTACTTTTGAATTCGAGTTTAGTAGGCTTTTAACAAATTTACATTTTGCCGATGTTCGAACCTGACCTGATGATGGAGCCGGAAGACAGACGAGAGATCTCCTTAACTATTTGGAGTAGTTGCCTTGTGTTTAGGCTTGAATGATTCGTATTGATGAGCACTTTGCACCAAGATTGGTCGTGACTATCATTAAGGGTCTGATGATGAGAACGATGGACAGCTCAGGGAACTCCTGAACGGTTTACAGTAACTACCTCGTGTTTGGACTTCATACATTTATATCAATGAAAACTTTGCACCTTTATGGATTACAATGAAGTTAGCAGTAAATTGTGATGATAGAGCCGGAAGGCAGTCGAGGGATCTCCTTGATTATTTGGAGTAGTTGCCTTGTGTTTAGGCTTGAATGATTCGTATTGATGAGCACTTTGCACCAAGATTGGTCGTGACTATCATTAAGGGTCTGATGATGAGAACGATGGACAGCTCAGGGAACTCCTGAACGGTTACTGACTTAATTCATTTATATTGATGAGAACTTTGCACCTATATGGATTATGTATAATGAAGGTCTGCAGTATACCTGATAATGGAGGTCATTGACATTCGAGGGAATTCCTCAACGATTTACGGCACTGAAAGCTGACTAACTCAGGACTGCCGTTACCGTGATTTTCGGTTAAAAGTAGCCGTCGTCTTCTCTTTTACGAAGCATCCTATCTTTCTCTGCCTATCACTTAAAATGATGAAATAAAATAATTAAAAAAAAAAACCGACCGACCTTTTAAAGTCGGTTTTTTTTTGTTAAAAATTATTTTATTTATAAAGTATCATTATAATCTTTTTCTTAACCTCCTTTAAAATCAGATATACTTTATTTCTGCTAAAAATAGTTGGCAACCCTAGTCACTACATAAGTCCAACAGAATATGTACAATAATATTATGTCTAGCCTAAGGATTAATTATCTTTAAATTTGAAACATTTTCTTGTGTTCGTTTTAGTATTGCGAATTGTGATACTATTCCTATCTCGAATTGCATTATATTATCTTCCCATATGCCTATAAGTAGGTACATAGATATTAATGTACCTACATATTATACTTAAAAATGATGGAAATGGAAATACTTAATGTAATCTATTTTAAGCCTAAAGATTACGTTTTTTATCTCGCTAGTGATATAAATATGTAATTAGGCCTGCGCATGCGCATAAAGCATGATTTTGTGTCGTACTTAGACTAGGGTAACTTAGTGTTGAAGACCAAAACCCAGGACAAAGTAACGAAAACCATAATAATAATTAAATTGACTTGACAGCTCACGAGGTTGTTGACATGTGGAATGTGGACTCGGCTATCGTTGTGCCGATAGCTGTGTCGGCAAACGGGTTAGTCCCAAAAGCCTCGACAACCACCTAAAGAGGCTGACGTTAGGCGGATGGATCAAGGGCCTCATACAGAAGGCAGTCCTCCTTGAAACGGCACGTATTGTGAGGAGGTTCTTGTCTCTGGAGCCCTAACCGCCGGCAGCTTGGACCTTGCTCCCGCTGCCGGCTGGCTCCTACTTTTATATTTTTAAATATTATTTTATTTTATTTTATAGTAATATTTAAAAATGTAATTTTAGAGTGATTTTAATAAATATATGTAAATATTAAATATTTTTAGTTCAAATTTTACAACTAGATGGCGTTGTTGCCACTATTAAAAGCGAGCTATGGTTTCGTTACAACAAATAGTATAAGAGTGTAATTTCTCTTGTACTTAGGGTTCAGATTTCGCAGTTCACCACATTCATAGTTCATATAAGTTCAGAACCACAGTTCAAATATACGAACCAGCAGTTCAAGCATAATAAGCGGTTTAATTTCAACCCTATTACAAGCTACAATAGATCAACGATTACTTCGGTAATTAACAGTAAGATACAAGAGACTCAAGTGTAGACGAGCCAAGCTTTGGCACGAATGCGTCGGCTCGACCAGTGATACCGCAGCCTCACAGATAAACCGGCGTGAAACAACCAGAGCTTCGTATTTCGCTGTGTGAGTAAGGTTACCGGGGAGCCAAAACTTCCCTTGAGTGTCGTCGTGGCCCAGAGGTTAAGGTGCCCGCTTCTCATGCATGAGGGCGCGGGTTCGAAACATGGCAAGTACCAATGTGACTTTTTCCGACTCATATGTACTTTCTATGATTATATAGACACCACTGACATACGGTGAAGGAAAACATCGTGAGGAAACCTGTACTTATAATTTCTAATTACAAGTTTGAAATCACCAATCCGCCTTGAGCGCGTGGTGATTAATGCTCAAACCTTCTCCGTCTGAGAAGAGGCTTTTGCTCAGCAGTGGGCACTTAGAGGCTGATGATAATGATGAATATTTCCCTTCCCCCCTTTCCCTATCCAATCCCTCAATCCCTAACACCTCTATCCCCAAAAGGTCATCAACGCACTGGATACTCCTCTGGTGTTGTGGTTTTCTATGGGCGACGCAGGTTGCTTACCATCAGGTGACAAAAAGACTCGCTTGCCAACGAACTACTTAAAAAAAGTTGTAAATCAATTAAAGTAATTTCTACAGGCTTGTATAGATCGTTGTAGTGTTGGTACAACGTGCTCAGTGTGCCGTGACATTGACAAGTCGGTCAGACTATGCGTTATGCAATGGTACAACAGTTTGTCATTTCGCATTGCAAACTATTATTGTAATAATGCACACCATTTCTGTCAACACTTATAACTGATTAACATTTTTTTCATGTGATGCAAGAAAGAGAAAGAAAGAGATAGAAAGAAGAAAGAAAACATGTTTATTTGGCACTCCATGAAGTATTACCAAAGAAAAACAACCACAACGTTGTGTTTCGCCGTGTGAGTGAGGTTACCGGAGGCCCAATCCTTCCCTACCCCAATCCCTAAATCCCCAATATCCCAATCCTTAAAAGGTCGGCAACGCACTCGTTACTCCTTTGTTGCTGGTGTCCATGGGCGACGCCGAATGCTTACCATCAGGTAATCCGTACGCTCGTTTGCCGTCCTATCACATAAAAAAAAAGAAAAATAAACAATTATATTACAACCTCAAGTACCATGTTAAAAGAAAAAAAATTACAATATTAATGTCTCACGGCTGTGCCAAACAGGTCCAGAGAGACTAACATGACGTGTTAAAGCGTGAATCTTCCGGGCGAGAAAGAGGGATAGAGCTATACACCTTTTGTAGCTCCGTCCCTCTTTCTCGGCAGGCCCTCAGTCCAGCATAATGCCAGACAACTACGTAGCACTTGCCTGACGCTGGTTTTCAACTGAACCTTTTGGGTGCAAAGACACTATTAGACAACCCGCAACAACGGACGAGTTAGTAGTGCGTTGTCGACCTTATGGAGATTAGGGATTTGGAGATTTTGGGATTGGGAAGGATTGAGCCTCCAGTAACTTCACTTACACGGCGAAACATTATGATAAGCCAGTTTTCTTTGAGGCCGTGGTACTACTCAGGTCGAGCCGACTTATTCGTGCCGAAGCTTGGCTCTCCCACACTTATGCCATGATCACTCGTACCGAATACTGGTCGAATAGTCGGTACTGGGCGCTATGTTTATACGTACCGAGTACTCGACCGAGAGCACTGTCTCGCCGGTTTGCTCGGTTCGTGTGATCAAGGCATTACCATGCGACAGGATAAAGCCGGGCATAGTTAAACTTTAACATATTGACATCTGCATGGGTCTCACTCAATTCAAGATTTTACATGCAATTTTGAGCCGCAGTCCGGCTGTGCGGTCATAAGATATGCGACCTGGAAAACCTACGCTGTTCAATGAAACAATGAAACAATGAAACAATGAAACAATGAATTTATTTTTGCAAATAGGCCTTAAAACGGCACTTTTACACGTCAAATTATATGTGTTCTACATGCCTATAGTGGATTTGGCTATTTGTAGCTTCATTAATTAGTAAGGTTAAGTGGTCTATGGTTCAATGCCTAATGGTCTTTATGAATACAAAACAGCTAATATTTGAAAGCATTATTAAAGAGGTCAAACCCCTTCGAGTATCTATACTAATATTATAATGAGGTACGTAAGTTTGTAAGTTTGTATGTTGGGGGTAATCTTTGGAACCGCTGGTCGGATTGCCAAAATTCTTTCACTGATAGATAGCTACAATGTTCCTGAGTGCTATAGGCTATAAAAAAATCACGCTACGATCAAATGGAGCTGAGCAGTGGTTGAAACCGCGCGAGAGGAGCTAGTGGCTAATATTTGAAAGCATTGTTTAAGAGGTCAAATCTCTATTACTTATTCGCGAGGCAATGATGGTATAAATGAGTATTATCATTCTTTAAAAGTTGAAGGTGATCACCCAATGTTGAGTTTAAATTCCTATGCTAAACCTAACATATTTTGTTGACATTTGCCGTTAGAGACATGATAAAGAACCATTAATAAACTTCCTGTTCGACCTTCAATATATTAATAACTCAAGACGCAAATATGTTCTTGCACAATATAGAAGACAAAAAATGATTTTGTAAAAGAACTATTTTTTTTATGTAATAGTTCGGCAAACGAGCACTCGGATTACCTGATGGTAAGCAATCAGCGCCGCCCATGGACACCCGAAACGGAGGAGTTACGAGTGCGTTGCCGATCTTTTAGGGATAAGGGATTTGGAAACTCAGGGATTGAGGAGGGATTGGGGGAAGGGAAGGATTGGGCTTTCGGTAACCTCACTCACACGGCGAAACACAACACTGTGGTTGTTTCACGCCGATTTTCTGTGAGGCCGTGGTATCACTCCGGTCGAGCCGACCCATTTGTGCCGAAGCATGGCTCCCACACTATGCATTGAAACGGTCTTGTAGGTGTTGTAGATAGATGATAAGTCGCAACGATACTAATCTACCTAATGCTATTTTAGTGCAGCGTATTTATTCGAAACCAAAACTTGAAAGAATTAACTTACTAGCTAAAATTTGCGATCATGTTACAAACATCCATCTAAATACTATATCTAGCTACAAATCAGAAAGAATAATCCAAACTAATATTATAAATGCGAAACTAATTCTGTCTGTCTTTCTGTCTTTTCTTCACGCCTAAACTACTGAACCTATTTGTGTGAAATTTGGTACAGACATAGTATGGAACTCGAGAAAGGACATAGGATAGTTTTTAAACCAAAAATCTGCAGGAAGTCACTATTCACCGTGAATAAAGTCGCGGGCAAAATGTAGCCTAGCAAACTTACACAAACAAAATGCAAATATAAAATGTCAACCAATCTCATTTCAAGGTCAAGTCGAAATCAAGATTTTACCTAGACAGTAAACAACAACAAAAAACTATCGTATGTTATAACGTTGTGGCCATCTGCATAAATTAATATTTCACAATATTACGATGTTAATTTTCTATTCCTTGGGTATGGTATGTCTTTTTTAATCGTTACGAAATGAACTTATAGACAATCAGGGGTGATTTAACGCGGAAAATACATGTTTATCCCACTAGGGGTGTAGTATAGTCATCTAAACACTCTATGGCAAAATGGCAACACTACACCGTGTTTCACCGATGTCCTCGCTCGGCAGTTGCACTTACGACCACCCGACCATCAAGGTTCAAAATCTTCCAACATTTTTTCAAGTTAAGCACTAAAGACTATTCTACTTAAAACATTTAAACCCGGGATTAAACCCATCGCCAAACGTGGCCATTTATGAAAACGTGAACGAGACACACAACAGACTAAAGTTCAAATGAATCACTGCCAAACAAATACCTAATACCAACACTTTGTCACGGTCGCACTTTGACCCCAGATAATTGATGAACCGCATTGTAATATTGTTATTGCAAAAAGAATCACACATCCTGCAATAATTAGGTCAGAGATAACAAAAGTTAGAATAATTGGAAAAACGATTGCAACTAGCGGTTAGTAGATACTGAACCACAAATTTTGCGAAAAATATCTTCGAATTAAACGCTACGTTTGCCGTGCGATGCTGATCTTTAAATACGAAACAGTTGCTCGTACTAAAACATATTCCTCAAATATATTAAAAAATATAATTATATATACTAGGCTAAGGACCTATAGCCTGGTGATTAACATTAAATGCGTGTCAAGACAAACACAAAAACAGTAAAAAATAAAACAACCACCACTCACCTCATAAAACCATCCAAATTTATCATAAGGAATGACGAAGGGCAGCCCAGGGATATTCAGCGCGATGTCCAAGACTCGGTCTTCTATGCCATCAAAGAGCCAGGACGTGACATTGGCCGTCAAAAACATGTTCGAGTGGAACATCTTTAGGAACACGTCCACGGACACCTTCAATGGAAGCCGCTGCTTCCTCATCATGTACGCTACAGTCTTTTGAAGAAATTAACAGAGATTATGGGGTATTCTTATCAAAGTCGTTTTTCAAAGAAAACAAGTAAATACATGTGGCTTATGCACAGAATGCATGGATAGAATGGACCACAAAATATGTATTCAAATACATATTATTTCATAATGTTTTATTTAGTATTATAACGTATAGTATTATTCATAGCATTCGTTACACGCCGTGTAAATAATACAATCACTCTATTCCGAGACCTCTTATCAGTTGACAGAATATGTACTGCAATGTATAATACGTGTCAACATCTGCGTATACAACTTTGCCAAGAAGTTCGTCCTGTACTCTTTTCACGAGTGGCCTTCTCTGGTGGTACTTCCAATATTCTCGATATAGATGTCTATTTGTTCTTTAAAACTTTATCCTAACAATATGGAACCTGTCACTTCCATGTCAATGGCCTTTTTATATTGCTGCATTTTTTGGACACAGTAGATACAACTGTGACAATATTAAAACACTGAAGTGTGGGCGAGCCCTATGAAGGTGTCCTGGATGATGTCGAAGTGTCAACTTACCGCAATGACAGGATTGATGCTGGTGATGTTATCACCGATGGACCCCACCGACATTTCAGGTTTGAAATGCCAGAAACGCTGGTTGTAGAACGTGAGGGTGCTGTTGTCGTTCCACGTCAAGTTTACCTGAACAAAGATATGGCAACGTTTACATCGAGATTACGGTTTCCTCCTCCAGAATGATTATATTTCGAAATTCCAGTCAAATGATTACTGATGGAAAATTGTTGTTCCTTAAGTAGATCCAGTCTGCACAGATAACTGGTATGCAGATGGGAAAACAAAGATTGTTTCAGTAGTAACTGATAGTTTTTTTTTTAAAATTAGGTATACAAGTATATAGGCCGATGTTCGGCCGCTGCTTCATCTGATCGTATATTCTTTAGGTAATGTTGACCAATCTATACTAATATTATAAAGAGGTAAAATTTGTAAGTTTGTATGTAGGGGGTAATCTTTGGTACCGCTGGTCGGATTGCCAAAATTCTTTCACTGATAGATAGCTACAATGTTCTTGAGCTGAAACATCACGCTACGATTAAATAGAGCCGAGCAGCGGGTAAAACTAGGGCAGAATTAGTGTTACAACAACTACTCGTTGTTTGTCGCCTCAGTAGTCTGTACTGAAGCAATCAAGCCTCAAGCGAACGCCGGCGTTCGCGCACCTATTGTTCTCCTATGGTGTCACCACGATTGAAAGATTGACTCAACATTTAATTTGCATATAAATTTACTGGCAAGACTGCACACATTTCTTCACTCACTGTAGTTCTTTTCGATTACTATTACAATTGGGTAGTTTCCTAGGTCAAAAATAAATTACTTTGACGTTTCAATACAATAACATATTGAAAAATAAATATACTTTTATTCATCGATCGATCGATACACTAAATTTTAGATATTTATTAACAATTTTTTAAGAAATAAGTAAGCTATTTGACCCATAAATTGTATGACGTCATAACTCAGTGTTTCATACAAATTTCATAGAAAAGTATTGTTTTTGACATTAGGATAAAAGTATTGAATTTGACTAGTTGGAAACTACCGTATTTTAATATGATTCAAAAGATACTAAGAATAAGAAGAAATCAATGTACAGGAGGAAGATATTACATTAACACCTAGCTATTGTTTAAGACCATCCGGGATGAAAACCACAACGAAGATATCGACAGTCGATCACTTCGAATATGACTTACCGTACGTAGTAATCGCGATCATGAACAACAAATTTTCTCGCTCTCACTTTCTGATTTAGAAAGGAAAAGCGGGTATGCGCACGCAGAGAATCAGATACCTAAACATTCCTTGTAGACGTACGCAATAATAGCACTTAGTACAATGACATTATAAGTAAAAAGGTGTAGATAGGTTACAAGCGCTCAGCAAGTGATACATTAAAATGTGGCTAACTAGCTACACTTTTTCATATTTGTCTCTTTTTCACTCGCGATTATTGACTCATGCCATCTCACTTTAACGTGTATCATACGATTTATTCATGTGTGCATAGTGTGCCGTTTTTGAAAATCTAATGTTGTTTAAGTAACCAATGTATACCATTTTACTTATAATATAATATATCGTTAACTAAGTACTATACATATATATATGTTTATGTAAAAGGTCGACAAACGAGCAGACAGATTACCTGATGGTAAGCAATCAGCGCCGCCCATGGACACCCGCAACATCAAAGGAGTTGTTGTCGAGCGCGTTGCCGGCCTTTTAGGTATAAAGGTTTAAGATATTTAAGGAATGGGGAGGGGAGGGATTGGGCCTCCGGTAACCTCACTCACACGGCGAAACACAACGCTGTGGTTATTTCACGCCGGTTTTCTGTGAAGCCGTGGTATCATTCCGGTCGAGCCGACCCATTCGCGCCGAAGCTTGGCTTTCTTTTACATATTAAATGAGTCATCGTACCAGCCCAGATTGACACCACTAGGGCTAATGCCCAGCCAGGGCTATGGGTGTAAGTGCAATGATATACCATGGTCCGTTTCGGAGCAAAAACTGACGTGTCACGGGACTCCACGGTTGGCGCGGTAGCTGGCTGTCGAGCGAATTCGGCTCCTGCGCGAAACAACAATTTGTGGATCACACAAAGAGTTGTTCCGTGTCTGGGTGTGATGTGGATGTGAAATTGTATGTTTGTAAAAGCACCCACAACACAGGAGAAAACCCTAGTATGGGGCAAAGTTTCTTTTTATAAAAATAAAACTAAGTCTCACTGTTCCTCTTGCTCCACCCAGGTCGGGAGTACAATTTGGTGATTTTACCCTCTCAAAAAAAAAAATGATACCGTGGATTACCCATATCACCTTCGCTTTATAATATCTGTTGCCAAGCATAATTAATTATAATAACATAAATCTTAATCAAAAAGATAACGATAAATAAGTAGGTAGTTTAATTTAAGTTCAATTGCATGCAGTCAAGGTAAAACAATATCCTTGGAACTTGGAGCCAATCAACCGAAATTAGAGCTGATTTTTCAATAGTCAGATAAATGTTATCTGAGGAATAAAATTATTGCCGTCACTGTCTTATACAAACATTCTGACGTGACAGCATCATAATTATTCCCCAGATAACTTTTAGATAACCATTGAAAATTCAGCTCTTAGTGTGTTAGAAGTAACTTTATCTGTCACTTATCTCTTGGAGTAATTTTATTTTACTTTTATTAATTGTTGACCTCTGATTGTATTGTTTTGATATATTCTATAAATTTGTTTACTTATATTGGTGAGTTGCTCAATTCATTGTATTTTCTGTGATGATATACTACGGCATTAGAATATTATAAGGTGTTTTTATTTTCATTACTATACATACTCGTAAATTCAAACGCAATGTAAAACTTGTTCATGATTTTTTTATGGAATAGATGGCAACGAGCTGAAGGATCACCTGATGGTAAGCGATTGGCGCCGCCCATGGACACTTGCAGCACCAGAGGAGTCACAGGTGCGTTGCCAGAATAAAGTTGGAAGTTTGAATTAATTTGATTGACTGCACGGTTGGTGCGGTGGTTGGGGAACTAGCTGCAGCGTATCGTGTCGCGGGACTATTTGTGGATCATACAAAGAGTTGTTCCGGATCACCAAAATATACATTAATAATATCATCATCATCATCATCAGCCTATAAGTGCTCACTGCTGCGCAAAGGCCTCTTCTCATAGGGAGAAGGTTAGAGCATTAATCACCACGTTTGCTCAATGCGGGTTGGCGATTTCAACTTATAATTAGAAATTATAAGTCCAGGTTTCCTCACGATGTTTACCTTCACCGTATGTCAGTGGTGTCTAAATAATCATAGAAAGTACATATAACTTGGAAAAAGTCACATTGGTACTTGCCAGTTTTCGAACCCACACCCTCTAGCATGAAAAGCGGGCTCCTTAACCTCCGGGCCAACATGTCAATTTTATTAATTAATAATATACATCATTAAAATTACAGACAATAATAAGATGGCGCCTCGGACTAAAAATAATGACGTCAACGTCAAAGCCGTAGATAAAATAAACATAATTTACTTCTAACAAATAACACAGTTATAATCTGTAGTGGAACTAGATTACACAATATACACATATATATATAATACCTACATATAGCTTTACTAAACACTATTATGTTTCCGAGATAAGATATAATGAGTGACGAATAAAGTAATATTGACTCAAGTAGATACCTGCTATCCACAATTTTCTGCAGGCGGCTTCGAACGCAATACGGTAGTTTCCAACTAGTCAAATTCAATACTTTTATCCAAACGTCAAAAACGATACTCTTCTATGAAATTTGTATGAAAAACTGAATTGTGACGTCATAACATTTTTGCGTCAAATAACTTACTTATTTCTTAATAACTAGCTAAAAAAAATCTAAAACTTAGTGTATCGATTGATCGATGAATAAAAGTGTAGTTATTTTTCAATATTTTATTGTATTGAAACGTCGAAATAATTTATTTTTGACCTAGGAAACGACCCAATTCTATGTAAAAAGTTGCCTATTTGGTATCCTAGACTATAATCTCGAGTCTCGGGTACGCTGTTATAGCAACGGTTAGACCCCTCGTTGAGATGACACGCAAGCTTCGATAGGTTCCTGTTTTGGATTCTGGGAGAAAACGTCCGGGTGTCGCCATTAAGATCAACACCCGGAGGACACGATGCAGTATACGATGGCTGAGTGCCCTGCTTGTACTGAACAGTTTCATGCCCTTAGGGTAGTAATCGGCGGCAGCGATCTCTACCACGACGGCCTTAGTCGAGACCATGATGCGGAGGAACTGAGGAGCAGTCTCCTCTTTCTGCAAAGCAGTGATGCTGATGCTTGCAAAGGCGAAGCGCGTGAGGGAACTATCCCCTTCACGCCCGAGCCGTTGCCTTTGAAAATAATTCGGAACTTATTAGTTTTAGGGTACATAATCACAATCACTCCACAAACTTTTCAAACCACTTTTTTTCACATTCGGAGTTCAGAGTCGAACTAAATGTGGATGGATGGAGAGGGAGGGGGAGACCAAAGAAAATATGGATGGATTGTGTGAGAAGTGATATGGAAGACAGAGGAGTTAGTGATAGCGTGACGAGTGACAGGACAGAATGGAAGAAAAAAACATATTGCGCCGACCCCAAATAAAACGGGACAAGGGCAGGAAGATGATGATGAGTTCGGAGTCGAACTAGTAAATAGAATAGAAATACAATGCATTGAAACAAAGGCAGGGCAAGTTGTATAACAAGTGTTGTTGCCTGATACGCGTAACACATGTAAGCGCACGCGCATTTTTACGTTATTTCCAGTGTTACGGAACAAGAACCAGGTTAATTAGTATCGCGGACACAAACCCACTTACATACATAAAAGGGTTGATCACCTGTTGATGGTTCCAATAAATAAAAATACCTACTTATTTTTCAAGTAAATTCAACATAAGTACCTAAACGTATTTTGCTAAAATATTTGGTCCTTTGTGGCGTACTAAGGACCAAATTTAAAATAACACTCTTTAATTTAACTACGACATCTTAATACTTAATAAACATATTATATGAATAAATAAGTTTGTTAGTGTTTAGTGAAAAAAGGTTTTGTATTTAACACTAAATCTTATTGTAAATTATATATCGGCATTATTGCATAATACACAACAAGTGTATAGAATTAAGATAGTATTGACATTGACCAAATTCTCATGAATTCGCGCTTAAACCAGTTTGCAAACAGTCGAGTTGACCTTTGATTAATATTTGCTAGTTTGCAACCATAGATAAAATTTATGCTTAAATTTCAATAATAATCAAACTAATACAGATTTTTTTAAACTAGATGAAACTAATATTTTTAAACATTAACTTAATCATACGTCCCCCGAAAGATTTTTAAACATGTCAGGCGTGTTGTTTAATTTTTTAATTGTTATTTTTTATTTTTGCCTTGATTAAGTACTCTTTCTGGAATTTATTACACATTTTGGACACAAAATGTCTCCTACATATAAATATACCTAACTTGGAAGAAGTCACATTGGTACTTGCTAGGTTTCGAACCCTATCCTTAGGTATGCATGAGAAACTTTTTAGGAGTCTTAACCTCCGGGCCACCACGACTTATAAGGCACCGTAACAACTATATACTGCAACGGTAATATGGGGGTGTAAATAGGTCTTATAGGTGCTTTTTGGTGGTCAGTGATTTGAGGATTGGGCCTCCGGAGACCTCACTCACACTGCACAACAACGCAAGCGTTAATTTGAACAGCACATGAGTTGACAGCGAGGAACTTGAAACACAAGTTATATTATTACCTATTCATAATTTAAGCACTTTTTTAGCCAAAGTGAAGACGTCAATGACAACAATGATGATTGCAAATCTTTTGCAAATACACTGTTCTCACATTATCAAACCAACTAAATAATGTACCAAAGAATCTTTATGTGAAACTGATTTAAAAATAGTAACCATGGAGTTTCTTGCTCGTTCTTCTCCATCTGAATCTACACATTGGAACGAGCAAATAGCTTCACCAAGAGGACTGACTGACCGCCAGACTAACACTTTATATCTTTAAAATTTAGTTTGACGTTCAAAAGTGCCAGTATGGGTCTAATTGAAATAAATGATTTTGTCTTTTGACATTTTGACAGTGTTTTTCGATATTGTAAGTAAATATTTTACCTACAAAATGTATTGCAAAAACTGGAAACTGTAGAAAGGTAATGTTTATGTTTAAATATTATGTAATATGTAAGCGTGAACACAAACAAGCATCGGTAAATAGCGTTTGCAAGGTCTATAATGAGAACTAAACATAACCTCGCTTCACTGAAGTAATTTAGATCACCCTTCTTAGGCATAAACTTTCTGTGTATAAGTAATTACCGATAGGAATAATCCTACTAAGCGAGGGCGGGCAACACTAGCCCTACGCCAGTTTAAGGCGCGCAACCCTCTTTAGGTCGGAGCTGTCAGAGAGAAAATACTGTTTCGCGCGCTTTTGTACTGTTAAGCCGATTTTCTTAAATTATATGTCTATTCATTAATATCATTGTGTTTTCATGTTTAAATTGCTAATATTATAAATCTGAAGAGTTTGTTTGTTATGTAGCACTCTTTTTACAGTAACTACTGTAACCAACGAAAAATAATGTCCATTTATCACTACGAATAGAACTCGAGCAACGTGTCAAACTATGCCGGAAAAGCTAGTTTTTCTTTATAATAGGAACAATTCGAAGTAAATTATCTATGAATTTTACGATAACTAACTTGATAACATCACACCTTGTAGCGTTTAAAACAGATAACAGGAAACAGTTATTTTAAAAGCCCCGTTGTAAAAGATATTCGTTGCCAGCCCGCCATAAATTTTATACTCTGTGAAACACGAAACCAAATTATCAATCTTCGCAGAATCTAGAAATATAAAATCGCTTCTTGATGGACATCGTACACTTACGAAATATTTCGCCTCCATTAGAACCGCTAAGTATCGTTACATCTCCATTACCTCACAAGAGCCCGGCAACACGCTTGTAAGTCGGTTGCTCACAATCCGTCTGCTCGTTTGCCGACGTGTGGAATTTTTGTCAGAACCTGTATGTCGGTTTCCCGAAAGGGTTTTTAAGGTCTGAGGGTATTGGTTGCTTATGGGTACGCTTTTGTAGGTTGGCCATGGTAGCCTACCACTGACAGGCTAGACAAGGGCCAAAAAGAACACACATAGTTTTCTGAGATAAAATACTATGTGATGAATGTATGCTAACATTCAATATATTGGAATATTTTACATCATAATCCGGATCTTATGACTCCTTATCGACTCAAACTCTATCGCTATAATACCTAATCAGATAAGTAATTTAATTATGTTTTGGAATTCAATTATGAAAACTACTTTGGACCTTAGGGTAACAGGTGAACAAAAAATGATGTTCCACAGTTAGTCTGGTGACCATTCACATAGTTAAAAAGGTAGATTTCTAAAACAAATTGAAAAACAAACTATTAGGTTTTCAACATTAATATTCTACCTACTGGTTTAAATAGACTGCCTACAGATCCTAATTAAATATCAATGTTCCATACCGATCTCGTTTTTTAAAAGAAATTCAAAAGAGCGAATGAAAAATATAACGCTATCTATCGCTAAGAGGTTGAAGAACCGTCAATAAAGCCTGCTTAGTAACTTGGTCAAATGAGATAGATCAATGATTTTAAGAACAAAAACAAGGAAGTTTTAAGAACAAGAACATTTCATTAGAAACTATCCTATATTATAAGCACAAACCATATAATAAGGAATTTAACGACAAATATATCTGGTCCTAATCTATCAATGGAATGTAATCAGTATAGCCACTTAACGAGTAATGATTATTACAATAGAATTGATTCACGTATTTGTGTCAAAAATGTTTATAAAAATATTATCTGTGCAATATATATAATTGTGCATACGTTTTCTTGAGGCGGGAAGAATTACCCCTACATGCAATGATATGTTACACCCAAAGATACGATTCTGGCATATCTTTCCAGCTTTCAATCATTTCATTTTATTTGTCCTAATAAAGGTACATACGAGTACAAAATATACAAAAAAAAACTTAGTTGATACGTACCTACAATAATTTTAATGTTTCTATTCATTTTAAATTTTCAATTCAAAAGACAATCATCTTTAGACGTCATACACATTCATCAATTCGGTGTCAATTGAGTGTAAGTATGATCAATAGACAATGTTGAATGAATGTTTTTGTGTTATAAGTTTGGTGAGACACATTTTTTTTATGTAATAAGTCGGCAAACGAGCAGACGGATTATCTGATGGTAAGCAATCAGCGCCACCCATAGACACCCGCAACGGAGAAGTTACGAGTGCGTTGCCGACCTTTTAGGGATTAGGGATTTGTAGATTTAGGGATTGGGGAAGGGTCCGGGAAGGGGAAGGATTGGGCCTCCGGTAACCTCACTCACACGGCGAAACACAACGCTGTGGTTGTTTCACGCCAGTTTCCTGTGAGGCCGTGGTATCACTCCGGTCGAGCCGACCCATTCGTGCCGAAGCATGGCTCTCCCACACTTAATTAACACAGAGGTTCTGGTGGCTGCACGACGTTGGCAGTTTCACACAATGCTGCTATGAATAAACTCTTCGCTCTTTTTGCATGGCAAGAGGGACTGTCAGACCCTTACTGACAAAAAAACACCCCATTCCATTTCCTGCTCTAGCTAGGCCGAGGCCGCGGTAAATTATTGCGAAATACGGGTGGACATCGGCCCTGTTTGGCCCCTTCTGTGGTGATCAACGAGACGCGTGGATCGCTACACGCCGTACGCTCAGGTGTAGTTCTAGTCAGGCGACGTCCTACCTTTGCCATTCGCATGTAACAGCCTGTGACGTGATTTGAAACACAGTGAGCAGTTTACCATATTAAATGAAATCTATTTTACTCTTAATCTATTTACTTCCTACTATCTACTCTCGCGGTTTCACCCGCTGCTCAGTTCCATTTGTTCGTAGCGTGATGTTTTACAGCCTATAGCACTCAGGAACATTGTAGCTATCTATCAGTAAAACAATTTTGGGAATCCGACCAGCGGTTCCAAAGATTACCCCCTACATACAAACCTTACAAATTTTACCTCGTTCATAATATTATAGTATACATTAACAGATCTTAAATTGCGTAAATGTTTTCAGCCGGAACGATCTCAGAACAACACTAATGTATTAATTATACTTAGCCTAAACAATTCCATTTAGGCCGATACCTATACATTTAATCCGATTAATGAGAACACGTGTTACTAAAATGATGTCATTTGTCACCGATCTGTCATGAAGTCACTCGATATCGATTATTCAATTAACAAGGCAGCAAAACTCCTTTCAATTAACATAAATAAGGATTTTCCCATTACGTTTGACCTACGCTACGTCTCTTCCAAATTTCAAGTGCCGACGTTCAGCCAAATTGCAAGTGCCGACGTTCATATATTTAGATAGGAATTAAATAAAGCTGAAGCCATTGAACTATCAGTTCTAATTTCAACAAAATATAACTACCTAGCTAGCTGTAGTAACGTTTTTAAAAACAAAGCACTAAAGACAAAATTTTATTTTAGTATATGTTTAGCTACTCATGAAACTTTCGAAAGGGCTTACCTTAGTATGAGATTCTTGAAACACATAAGGTCCCATTTCCACAACTTTAATTTTTTCTGCCTTCCCACTTAATATTTCATTTACGTTGCTAATGTTGAAGAAGAAAATCTCCAAGTACATAGGTATGGGTGTTTCCCTCCATATGCTGAATGACATTGAATCTGGTGCAAGAATCATCATCTGAAAGAAATTTAAAGAGTTAGGCAGACTGAACTGGCTCTTTTGTCTTGTTGCTCTTTTTGAACCATTATAATTCTCATAAATTAAATTATCCAAACATTGCTGCAATAAATATTAAAATATTTATTTTCATAGGTGAATTAAAAATCAGGTCGTCGATCAATAAGATTTCAAATCTATTCCCCACAAAATCCGTTATTGGTTACGTTTTTCACATGTCCTTTAAGGGACGTATACTCTTCGTATTTATATACAGGGTAAAGGTGCAGTCCAAATCCCCAGCCCATTTTTGTTTTGGTATCGGGTTGGAAAATCCTCACCGAGACCCACCGCCCTCGGGGTAGGGCGAAGGGTTCTGTCAGACTCTTACTGACTAAAAACCAACGCCCCGATTATATCGTCGGCAGGCCGCGCCCTAGGTGGCCGCAGGTCAGCCACCCTTCGACGTCTAAAATACCCAGACCCTTATCTTCAAGTACCAACCAACCCTAACCATAGCAAGGCCGAATTTACAATGTTCGACTAAAAAGGCATTATATTAGTTACCCTTTGTAACTGGCTGTCGAAGATGGCTGGCCAGAATACGACCATGACGGCGCCTGACACCAACAGCAAGGAGCCGAAGCCCAAGAAGAGCCCACTCCTCACACCCTCTGACTTCACACACATTTTGGTTTCTATTAATTTACCTGTAAAAAAAGTAAAACATGGAACGAAACTCATCATGGGCCTACAAATGAAAAAAAATGTGCCTTTTCACATGTTGTGAATGCACACGTGTTGCTTGAAAGTAGTCTAGTACATTCAAGGGCATTAGTAAATCTTATAGCAGAATTATTCATAAGTCTGATGATGGTTATTACCTTCGATCACTAATAAGTTCTTTATTAGTGATCTCATTCTTTATAACATGCATATATTTATCACTAACACCTCTTCATCACTCAAAGGTTCGAGTGGTAGGGAATACCTATGGCATTAAGACCACCTTGCACGTTGTTGTGAAAATCTCAAATAAATAAATATTATATAGATTTTATCGAAAGACAAATAAATATTTATTAGATTCGTAAATATCATCACGATCTTCACTACGTAAAAAAATAACCTAAAATATATCAAATGGCAAGACTAGCTTTTTGCCATTTATATGTACCTAGTAATAAAAAAATCAATACTACCTAATATATGAACGATTTGTCAAGTAACTACTAAAAAATCGAATGCGAGAAAATATTGGTTCTTTCATTAAGTGTTTGTATTTCGCCTAGAATTTTGTTATGACGTTTAACACCGAATCCCATGAACGATTTTTGTACTTTTGCCAATCTAAATAAAGGCTGACTTAATCTATGTCCATCTCTAGTTTATCAGATAGGTACTTAATAAATAAATAGTCATGTTTTTATCAGATACTTAAAGAAATAACTTTAGTTTTCATACATAACTTGACATAGTACGGTTTTAATAGTGTCCTCGTAAAAGTGTTCTCTGAGAGTTTCGCGACGACCTAAGTTATAGATAGCTCTGTCTTCAGGTAAGACCGGCGGCAGCGACCGCTCAAATCCGGCCTTAGACGAGGCCATGTAGCGAAACGAGAGGAGCTGGGAAGCAACGAGGCTCACAAGGAAGGAAGCAAAGCGCGTGAGAAAACTCAAAGAGCGAATCAAAGAGCTAGTAGACCACCACAGACGGAGCCCAACGGGGCGAAAGGTAGCTTGCCTTCCGACCAGAAACCAGACCTTCGCACTTCCACAGGCAGAGTCCACTAGAGTTGATGTGAAAAAAAACGGGGTGATTTTTAGTCCGAAGTATACTGAACCTCCATCTCGCGAGAGATACATATTTTCCTTGCATAAGAAAACGCTTCGGAAGGGGGCAACCGTAAAAGCTTTTCCAATTAGACCGCATGTAGGGGCGCGCGATTCGAATCGTGGCCGACCGCTGGATTGTGTCTAACCGGCTGGACATTTAAGGCGTAAAAGATATAGCCCTAATGAGGTATCTACTATCGATTTTAAGAATGGGAGATTATTTATTTTGATTTTACTAGGAGTAGTTTTATAGTTCTGGGAATTGTTTAGTTTGCTCCCTGTCGCATCTTTTTGCCATCGACACACGCGTCAGCACTTTCATCCCATCACATTATGTAGATAGCTGACAGGCAAGAGCTGTGCGTTTTCGCGAAACAAATTAACTTTATTTTATATAATATAATATAGTTGCTGCTGCAGGCCAATTAAGCACTTTTTACGTTTCAAGTACCTTCTAAAATTGTTTTTAAGTTTTTTATTGTTATTAAACATAATGGATCAAAGTTATCTGATTAAATAAGATAAATTAAATTTAAAAATTAATTAAAATTATTCACACATTTTTTAACAAACTAACTGGCAAACTAGCTGGCTGATTACCTGATGGCAAGCAGTCGGCGCCGCCCATGGACAATCGTAATACCAAACGAGTCACTATACGGGGTTTGCCGGCTTTTTATGGGTCGTAGTCATTCACTGGATTGGTCAGGTTTCAAAGTGTGAGTCTCCCATTACTAGTACCTAAGTAGTTTTAGGAGGGGAGAGGACACATATACTTATAGGTTTTATTTTATTTCTGTAGCTCTAGTTTTAGTCTTAGTTTAAAGTATTGTTTTGTTTGTTATTCCCTATTTCTCTTTTTCCTGTTGTTTTAATTTGTCACACAGTGTCTTGCAGTTCCTATGTCTGTCTCTGTATTTGTTCTCTATTTACCTACTGCATGTGTGATGTGCATAAATAATAAATAAATATTTTAGCACTGTATTAAAGAAACAATAGCTTTCAGTGTGGATTCTGTCATGTTCACTATTAGTAGGTAGTAGTAAGTTTGAAAGGAGGTCAAGTCCCTACACTTAAAAAATCCTGCTACTAAATATATATTTTTTTTATCTCTATTTCAATAACACAACACAAACAACCAAAAAAGAATTGTCAGTCAGTCAGTTCCTTATTGAGATGACTTGCTTAGTCTAGCGGAAAGAAAGTGCAGCAAAGTCCATGGTTTCTTTTTCAATTAGAAGTTTTACAAAATAAGAAAATTAATAACCAATCATTTACTAGTTACTAGTTAGTTACAAACAGATAACATTAGTCAATCAAACAAACTTATCATGACAAATAATACTAAATGATGTCATCCCCACCGGAAATATAAAATGTTATAAACTTTTTATCAAAATATTTGGCCTAGACCTAAATAAATATTAGGACATTTATTATTCTCCATCACTATTTTGTATAACTTAAAGAATGAGGAGATAGAAATTGTTAACAATTGCAGCATGTAGGTCATTAAGATAAAAATTAATGGTGCCATTGATAACATTAATATATTGTAGTTCAATTTTGCACATTTTGCTAATTGTTATACCTAATACTCAATTACCCAATATTAGAAACCAAATTATTTAATATTTGGTTAGGCTTCAACATTTGAAATAGTTGACTGTAAATGTATATATTATTTATATAAATTTGAATGAGCAAGAATTTTATTAATGAACTTCATTTAAATAAAAATCCGAAACGGCCAGTCCCTGAGATAGGGCAAAGCAAAGCCCCTAAGACGACCCACTGACCAAAAGGGTACAATTTCCCAAATTTCTACCTTTCTATTTATTTAATAAAAACCTTGCTAATAATCACAGGAAATTAAGATTCATTTCAATATGTATAGATATAAATAAGCCATGAAGCCAACTTGTTACCAAAAAATTTTTTAGTATTTTGGTATTGTTTTACAAAACAAAAAGTAATTCGAAGAATTGCTATGAACAATCCTTATGACGTCTAAAGTCATATGACATAGAGAAGCGTAATTTAATTAGTTTACTTACGTTTTACAGTATAAATAAATCACGAATCCAAACAACTTTATTCACCCACGTTTCGTACACTTTGAATATATTTTTGGCACTTAATATTAATCTATATCACGTGCACTACTTATTAACATTTTCGCTTACTTTAAAAAACAGCACAATTGGATTATTTTATTAAAAACGTAAATAATATTTGAAAAAACTTTACGTCTTTTCAGCGTAAAGTGTATTCCGGGAATGAAATGAAATATTTGTAATTGTTATATATGTCAACGTCAAAGTAGAATATAGTGAGAGTGAGGATGACATTTATAGTGTTACTAGCGTAAAGTTTATTTTCTACTAAAGATAAACCGAATAAACGTAAATAACTTAAATAATTTATTGAATAGGTCTTAAAACGTTTAAGTGCATTGTAACAAGTGCTCCCTAAGGTTAATAGGTCAGGGTAGTAGCATAAAGTTACACCATGATCCTACTAGGACAATTTTTAGACCGTTGTTGTGTAAAACAAAGGTGTTAGTTAATTAAACCGGCGTGAATCTACCTCAGCATTGTTTTTAGCTCACAATTGTTTTGCTGTGTGAGTTAGGTTGCCTAATCCTTCTCCTCTCCCATAGGCCGGCAACGCACTAGTAACCCCTCTGGTATTGATGGTGTCCATGGCGAGACCTGGTTGCTTACCATCAGGTAATCGTTCTTTTACAGCTGTATCACATAAGAATGTACCTACCAATCTGAGAGGAGAGTGGAGACACTCACTGGCTAAAAGAGATTTTTTTCAGTTATTCGATCGTCTGACGAACGCTACTATAAGTATGGTATAATATAATTATGTATGTATATGAATATTAGACTTCAATGGTCAAACATTAGGTACATAACTGCAACTGTTTGTGTCAATCACAAATTGTTGTTCCGGGTCTGGGTGTGGTGTGTATGTAAAACAGGAGTGACACAGGAGAAAATCCTAGTGTGGGGCAACGTTTTTAAGTTGCAATAAAAATTGTTGATTCGGTCGCCAGTAACAGCTCGGTTGCGTCACATATGGACTCAAAAATAATTATCCTAGTTGTAGACCTGTCGCCCAGCGAGCGCTTGAGAGAGCTATGCTTGAAGTTGGCGCGCGACAAAATTCGCTACATAACTATATAGAATCATCGACATACATTTAAAAATCTGCAAGCTGAAGTGGCCATGCCACAGGCAGGCCACACCGCTGGAAGGTCTGATGGCCGATTGGTCAAAGTGCTCGAGTGGCGACCACCCGACCGGAAGACAGCGTGGGCAGACCTCCTGCTAGGTGGATGGACGACCTCGTCAGAGTCGCGGGGAGCCAATGGGATACGAGTGGCAACTGGCGTTGGCATCGCGAACTAAGGCGGATGCCTTTGTCCAGCAGTAAACGTCTTTCGACTGATGATGATAATGATGAAGGGGATAAGACAACATTCGAATAAAACGAAGTTATGCCTACATATTTCTTTATTATTGAATAAATTACAAAAAAATGCTATTAATGTAAAATTCCATTCAGGCAGTATATCTGCATAATAGATATTCTTCAAACTAAGTAGGTATGCTTAATAAAACCTATAACCGAAAAGTTGAAACTGCATTTAACTTATAGAAAAGCATATTTTGGAATGGTTTACAAGCCTACAATTTGAGACAAGCATTACATGTAAACTGAGTTAAATAACAGTAAAAAAGCGATGACTTTAAAATACCTAATTAAGTTTCATATAACATTTGGTAGGCGAAAATCCATTTCAAAACTCGATCTCCATCTTGTAAGTATCCGAGATAGCGAGACTCTGAATGTATACCCGAATCGATTAAAATTCGTAATCCTGGATATAAAGTTTATTTAATGGTTTTGCTAAAAAATCGTGTACAAATAAAATAATCTGAGAAATGTTGCCAGCAATCGATTCGAATAGTAATTTATATAAACCTAATCTCAAGACAAGGTAATCCATAAACTAATGTATAGCGATGAGGCCGGATTCTAGGAGCTTCTGAATCTTGGCGGCGATGTCTGGATTCTTGAGATGATCCTGTAAGGCGTGGGGATCTTGTTGCATCTGTTCGAGGATGCAGCGCATGGCAGGGTCGCGGAGGATCTGCTGCACTTCTGGGTCTGCCATTGCGCGTTTGCGCACCTGAAAGCGAACAGAACATTACCTTATTTACCCCTTAACATATTGAGTTATAAGTTTCTATAAAGAGGTCTGCGTCAAGCCAGTCAAAACTAATCCGAGTAGTTCAACATCTGCTATAGTTTCAAATCCAACCCTCTAAACATCAGCCGGGGTTGCGGGGTAAGCGCAATGAGGTACCGCGACCTCGGCACAGAGCAGGAGAAGGAACAGGGGGGTTTTTAGTCAGTAAGAGTCTGACACTCCATCCTGCCCGGCCCTGGGCGGGAGAAGTCATTTGATGATTTTCCCCTCACAAAAAGAAAACCCTCTAAACATAAATTTGAAAATTAAAAAAAAAACCGACAAAAAAACGAATATCCCTTTAAAAAGTAATAATTTTAAAAAACCGAAATATTTTATTGTCTACTACATATTTTTATTTTGTGGGGGTTCTAATTTATTTTTTTATTTTATACTTTTTATAGGTATTTTATATAATTTTCTCTCGATTAAGTCAACAACATTCCCTTTCAGTGCGCTTTCGTTTGAGACCCCACTCGAATATATATTTGCAGACCTTCGGTTACTCTTCCCCACTTACGCCCCATAATTTCTAAACGGCTCAACCGATTTTCGTCAAACATGTCTAAGAACACTGGCACGTAAGTCACCTTTAATAAAAAAAAAACTAAATTAAAATCGCTTCATCCGTTCAGGCTCCAGGATGCCACAGACAGACAGACACGTCAAAGTTATAACACCCTTCTCTCCCCGTCGGGGGTTAAAAGCTTAAATCGATGATAATGAATTATCCTACCTCCTCAGGGTTGGAGTGCAGTTGGGTGGAGCACGCTCGGTAACCTTCGAGCGCTTCAGCATTGCTTGGGTCCAGCTCGAGAGCCTTCTGGTATGCGGTTAAAGCTTTAGAGTGCTGTTGCATGCCCTGGAAAAGAAGAAATGTTTTTGTAAATAATACAGTGGAACATATCATAAATAAAATTCTTCCGGGGTTGCATGGCAAGCACTATGAGGTACAGCAGCCTCGGCCTAGAAGCAAGAGAAGGAACAGGGAGGTTTTTAGTAAGTAAGAGTCCCTCCCCGCCCAATCCTGAGCGGGAGAAGGTATTGAAAAAAAAAGTCAAATAAAATCTTGAAGGTTTCTAATGTCACCGTCATTTAAATTATAACGGACATCTGACACCATTAGCCTTTGACAGAAAACAATTATGTCATGTATACATTTAATTTCTTAATGATGAGCATAAAGCAAAGTATTTCACAAAATGTGACAAAGTATTTAATACTCAAAATAACGCAGGCACTCAACGCCACATAAATTAAGTACTTCTATCAACTGCTAAATCTATAAACACGAGAAATTTGACGAATTCTAACCTGAAGAATCTTTCCCTTTCGGATCCATCCTTTGATAAACTTCGGGTCCAGTTTGCAGCAATGGTCACAGTCTTTGAGGCCAAGGTCGAAGGCAGCAAGCTTGGTGTAGCAAGCAGCACGGTTGGAGTACAGCTTGGGGTCATCAGGGTTACGCTTTATAGCTTCAGTGTAGTGCTTTACCGCTGTACTGTAGTCTCCTGTTCATGATAAAGGTAAGAAATGTTACGGTGAAGGAAAACATCGTGATGAAACCTGAACTTATAATTTCTAATTTGCTCAGCAGTTGGCACTTAGAGGCTGATGTCTTATACAATAAATGAAATCTGAACCTTGCCAAAAGTTGTTGACAAATTGATTGCGGTATTGTAAATGGTAGACTTGTAATAGGACATATATCTATACTAATATTATAAAGAGGTAAAAGGACATGGCCAAAAAAGTACATTCCACGTACACGAATAAAATTAATACACTGTAAAATACAAATAGAAATATGAATTATTACGTAGTTTTTAGCCTCTCCAGACCTGACAATTATTATTAAAAAAATGTAAAAGTAATGCAACAAAATCAACTTCGTTTGTCAAGTTTCGGCATAATAGTCCATAGAGAAAGATAAATAAAAAGACGTTCCAATTCCAAACCACGTGTCTTAAACTACACTCGTAGAAAACGTGTGATATGATCGACAAATGCATTACACTAGGAACATATTATTAATACGAAACTGTATTCATTGGTTTTAGTAGCATTTTAAAATATACTCATATTATAATAATGTTATGTTTTATTTTTATCTAATTCACCAAAAAAAAAACTTAAACGAAACGGAACGTGTTTGGCACTTTTGACAGCGTGTTTTTGTTAACCTTGCTAATAATACTGGGGTAACTGTTTTGCGTTTTGGATTTGTTTTGTGGATTACGATGAGGTGCATCAACTGCGGAATAGGCGTACAAAGGCTGCAGAGGCGTCTTATATCCTCGCTTTTTGCACACCATCAAACAAAACTTTCACGTTGGTTAACCAGCTCAAACCCAGGTATGAAGTCGGAATATATAATACTTAATCTGTTTTCTTTTTTTATGTTTTATCATGGTATGCGATTTTAAATAGTGCATCTTTTTTTTAGTTGCCTCTGGGGACATTCATTTGCCAACCACGTTTCTTATTATTGAATACTGAGGTTGGTGAACATGAGAGACTACTGGGGCATAACATGGCTTGCCTTGGTTGTGGAAAATCGGTTCGAAAAATAAGACACCATAATGTTAGTATGGACTCTCCATTGCTAGCTGGCCTAATAACACAAAATACTATTAATGTGGTAAGCATTTTGTTTTTTATTCATTGTTTTATATATGTACTTGCATTTATCTATAAAAAAAGTACTCATAGTAGGTATGTGTGATTATAATATCTATCTTTATGTATTTTCCATGTTTGCATAGACTTCTTTAAAATAGGCATGTTGTAACATAATACTTCTCACTGTACAATAACATAAAACTTGAAAACATGTGTTTATTCTAACTGGGGTTTATTTTCAGACCTCAAGAAGCAACTATGTTTGTCATGTGTGCTGTTGCGGGCAAATAGACAGACAGTGCAGGACTTATCACGAAACTTGCAGGAATTGGGTTCGGACAACAATGCAGTAGCCCCTTATATTCAAGTGGTTAGCCCACCAGAGCCACCACCATTACCACCTGTTTTAAGCAGGCCGCTTCAAATGGAAAGTACTACCATATTATTACCCAATTATACAGAATATATATTAAAGAAATGTACATTCCATGCACAAACATAATAAAATACGCTTTATAATAAAAATATAAAAGTGAATTATTACGTAGTTTTATTTTATTTGTTCTCCTTAATAAATAAATCATTATTCTTTATACACATTATTTTGTTTTATTTTATAAATAAATAAATAAATAATTAAAACGCCATGGTTTTTAAAAGCAAAATCTTATTTCGTGCACTTATGGCCAGTAATCTGACTAAAGTTTTAGTGAAACTATTTTCGTCTTGTTTGTTATAATTACGAGTTCTTCATGTGTTTTATTTTTTGCAATTTAATTTAATAATATACACGAATGTAAACACCAAAAATCATTGGTGTACATTGAATTCAATAACTATGCAAACGCCCATACAAAAGTTGGCAATGTCCTTTGTAAGTTTGTATGTAGGGGGTAATCTTTGAAACCGCTGGTGGGATTGCCAAAATTCTTACACTGATAGATAGCTACAATGTTCCTGAGTGCTATAGGCTAAAACATCAAGCTACAATTAAATGAAACCAGGCAGCGGGTGAAACGGCGTGAGAGTAGCTATTATTATATAAAAAAATGAATTGCTGCTATTCGTAAGTCTCGATAAAACTCTAGAACGGCTGGCCCCTTTTGAATAATTTTGGTCTTCAATTATTTGTTTAAGTATAGATAAGGTTTAAAAGGTCAAAAGATATAGGTAATACGAAGTTCGCCGGATCGGCAAGCAGGATATATTTTTTGAATACTCACCCTTCTTAAAGTAGTCGTTGCCAAGTTCTTTCTCCTGCTCGGCCTTCACAGGGTCAATGTAGGCCTTCTTCTCTTCCTCGACTATCTGTTTCTCGACCTCACTCAATAAGGTCTTGATCTCCGGTGTACGATGCTCAGACATAGACTTCTCATAGTAAGTTTTTGCTAATTTCCACTGTTCCATCTTCTTGTATGCATTGCCTGTTAGAAGAAAACAAATTATAACTCTGACCATAAAGTTTTTGTCTAATAACTATTTGGATTTGTATCTGTATTCAACGAACCATTGCGGTATGAACCATATTGGTATTAAGGTCCTTAAGCATATAATCTGTTATAACTTATATACTAGCATGACATTTAATGCATTTTGATGAGTAAAAGAAGCTTTTTATAAAAAAAAATACATACAGTATACAGTACAATAATTTACTTCTATTTCAAATAAAAAGCATGAATTATAATTTTGGCAATATGTTTGTTTGTTTATTTACGAAAAACCTTTACCACTGTATAAACATTCAGGGTTTCAGTGGTATATTGAAAATGTTGGCTTAATGCCAGAAACCACATTATGATATAGGATATTTATGTTTTATAATTTATTTATCAACAGGATGCATGGATGAAATCATGGGCTTTGACTGCTATTACTCCCTGGATTGATAGTTACAAGTCTATAACCTCAATATCCAAAATACAAATCTGATTGTGATGAATGTTGGACAGTAAAATTATTATTTCTTGTGGAGTAGTAGTTTGTTTAAAGGGGAATTGAATCTGATATCCTTTACTCGGTCCTTTAATCAATGAAACAAATAATTTATTTTAAATAGGTCATAAAAAAATTATATGTGAAAAACTAGATTAAGCCATATCGATCTTTAGACCAACAGTTTATTACACAAGGCCGTGTTACTAAAATTCTGGTCCTAATACTACAAGAAAAATGTCTGTGTTAATGTGTGTGACATGTGGTACGCGACTTTAACTGGATATCGGCCCTAATGGGCCCAATCTGTGGTGGTCTGGTGGCTTTTAAGGCGCGATGGTCGATGGAAATTGTCGCGCGATCCCTGACGGCTATGGAGGATAGTTCCCTCACGCGGATAGATTCTACTCTTTATAAGAATAACTAGCGAGATACGAGAGACGTAATATATGAAGCATGGTTGGTGCGGTGGCTGGGCAACTGATTGCGGCGCAACCGGCGATTCCTGCACGGAATACTCTTTGTGTGACCCACAAATTGTTCCGGGTCTGGGTGTGACGTTTATATTCGTAAACGAACCCACGAAACCGTGCATTTTAAAGAAATAAAAATAGTACTTGTGTCCAAAATTCCAAATGGTAATTTGATGTAGACGTGTATTAATGAGCTGAGACATTTTATACATTTGAATTTAACCTGACAGACCCGTTGCTCGGTATTGACCCTATTGTTAACTGATAAGTGAGCGCCGATAATGTTTGTATTATTTGCCTTAGAGCGTACAATCCCAATATTTAAATAAAGTTAAAATAATTTAACTACAATATTAATTTATAATATCGAGAATCGTAAAATGTGTTGGTTAGCGTTAACTCATAAACGCATGTACCGATGTTGCTATTTCTAATTGTTGTGTTCTTACAGGAGGTTATGATAAAACGAAAATTTTAGAAAAGCGTAAAATTCGCGCGTGCGAATCAGAGGCTTTAAATTCAAAAATAATAATTTACAAACACTACGTTAGATTCACAGAAGATAATATGTATTACTTCCATCCTACTAGCTTCCGACAGCGGCTTCGCCCGAGTAGTAAGTTGATAAAAAGCCTAAGTCCTATTCCGAAGTGTATCCTATGCCTGTGCCAAATTTCAATCAGATCCGTCCAGCCGTTTGGGCGTGATTGAGACACAAGCATCGTAACATTCGCATTTATGATATAAGTAAGATGATAGATGCACATAAGACTGTTGGAACTGTGGCTGGGCAACATCAATTAAAAAAAAATTAATAATGTCATTATCCTCAACCGAAAATTAACGAGTCTGCTGATTAAAACACAGATAATTATTTTATTAAATTAAATCTCACCACTGCTTACAAGGAACCGATTAAAAATATTGTATAAAATAAATTACTAAGATGCTTAAAAACCTGGGAGGATAATGACTTGTTAAATAAAAGTTAAGGTTTTTTGGAGAATCACCCAACAAATCTGTGTGATCCACAAATTGTTGTTCCGAGTCTGGGTGTCGTGTGTATGTGAAATTGTATATTAGTAATCTCACCCACGACACAAGAGAAAATCCTAGTGTGGGGCAACGTTTAAAAAAGATTAGGTATTAACGTTTTGTACGACATTTTGTATGCCTTATTATATTAAATTCAAACTTCTTAACCCGGAAAGGCCTAATTTGGATTTTGGCCATTACTGGTCGCTTGGCGTTCCCATTTTGTATATAAATTACGAACAACTTTATTTAATGTAATGTAAACAATGTTGATGAGGCTATGTCACTTTAAACTCGAAATGGAACCAGAAGTCTGGCATATTGTATATTAAATGTTGTGTACAGGAATAACTGACTTCATATTTTTGTGTACTGTACGTGTCTTTACTTTCATAATTGGGTAGTTTCCTAGGTCAAAAATGAATTAATTCGATGTTTCAATACAATAAAATATTTAAAAATAACTATACTTTTATTCATCGATCGATCGATACACTAAGTTTTAGATATTTTATAGCTAATTATTAAGAAAAAAGTAAGCTATTTGACGCAAAAATACTATGACGTCATACCTCAGTTTTTCATACAAATTTCATAGAAAAGTATAGTTTTTGACATTTCGATAAAAGTATTGAATTTGACTAGTTGGAAACTACCGTATTGTTTTTAGTCTGCAACTTTACCTATTAAAATACGTCTGGTTTCTACCCCTGCTGTCATAAAAAAGTGTATGTAAGTACTGGACTTCATTTTCTGCTATACTTACAGGACTTAATAACCAGAGTTACTTAGTTATCTGATTTATAAGTTCCTACGTCCATCAAAATAAGCTTCCACTTAAGCAAAACAAAAAAAATGCCACGTTAAATTTGTCCCTGCATATCCCCAAGGGAAACGGGTGAAGGTAACGTCAAATATATTTTTGAATTTTTCATCTCTAGGTATTCCCTTAAAAAAAGATACACGACAATAATAGACAATTTCACTTTTTGCTAGTACATATTATTATTTAATATAGCCCCATTTATATTAACGTACATAACGTAAATATACAATATGAACCTACTAAAGAGTATTTACAGTGATTAATATATAAAGATGCTGCATGATAAACTCTTTTGACTTATTAATCTGAGAACATTGAACTTGCACTAGATAATTATGGCAATGGCTGCTGATTGTAAGTGCGTATGAATTACGTCTAGTGTTATGTGTCCCACTATGACCCGCCGTCAGCCATTGCTATCATACCTTAACTTTTCACTATTACTAATTTATTAATCTATACTAATATTATAAAGAGGTAAAATTTGTAAGTTTGTATGTAGGGGGTAATCTTTGGAACCGCTGGTCGGATTACCAAAATGTTTCACTGATTGATAGCTACAATATTCCTGAGCGCTACAGGCTATAAAACAACACGCTACGGTCAAATGGAGCTGAGCAGCAGGTGAAACAGCGCGAGAATAGCTAGTATAATATTAATATTATAAAGCTGAAAAGTTTGTTTGTTTGAACACGCTCTCTCGGGAGAACGGGCTCTCATTTCTATCTCGGGAACTACTGGTGCGAAAAGAAAAAATATTTTTGTGTTTAATAGACCATTTGTTGAAGAAGGTTTTTTTTTAAAACACATTGCCCTACACTAGGATTTTCTCCTGTGTCGTGAGTGCGTTTACATACAATTTCACATACACAACACACTCAAACCCGGAATAATAATTTGTGGAATTCACGAAGAGTTGTTCCGCGCGGGAATTGTACCCGAAATCTTTAGATCGTCCAGACAATGCTCTATGCCAAATTACAGGATAGATACTGGATTTTTTTTTAACCTTTCCTAGCTAAAATAGGCACGAAAACAGTCGACTTAAGCATATAGCGATTCTTGGTAGCATTATGACTTTTTGTAAGTCTGCAGAGTACACAATGGTATCAGCTTTCGTTAAGTTGGAATCAGATTGATATTGTTGTCTTGATTTCTTGGCTCCTATACATATGACTTGCCCACCTTTCCTTGATGCCTTTATCATTCGTTTCATCGTGTATAACCGTTTGGTCGCGTGTTCACGTCAATAATGGTATGCGCTGGGTTCAAAACTAAAATATGTTCCTTTGTAGGACTATCATAAATCGCTTTCGAAGCATGAACTTACCGCTTATTGGCTTAAAAATTTACTTAGGTTTTTAATTAACATTTTTAAGCGTTTCTAGCCGATAAGTCTGTTGGCTTCATAAAAACGGCATGCCGTCAAATCTCTTAGAAATTTAAGGAAAATTTGAGATATAAAAAAAATCTTTGTGGTTTTTTTAATGTTTTAAATTAGATATCGCTATTTGACTTATACCATTAGATGCGAAATTTTTCTTGCTATCGATTGGTATCAAAAAAGCTAAAAGGGCGTATCTTAGAGATAGCGCCTTTAGGCTTAGCAGGGCAGTATTACATGCAATGACATTCCATTTTGAACCCTCATCTAGAGAGGTCGATTACCATCTATCATAACTAGAATAAAAACAGGTACCTATTGTAATGTAATTAATTTCGAATTTTAAATTATGGTCTGAATTGTTCCCAAGATTTTTTTTTTTTGGATCCACACCATTTCTTTGAGAAGCACCATTTGTCATTTATAAAATAAGAGGTAGGTATTTGAATCTTGGTGGTTGACTGCACAGTAGGCGCGGTGGCTTGTCAACCTAGGCTGCCGACGCGGGTTTCATTCTCGAACGGAAGAACTATTTGTGTGATCCACAAATTGTTGTTCCGGGTTTGGGTGTCATGTGTGTGTGAAATTGTATGTTAAAAACGCAACTACGACACAGGGCCAAATCCAAAGGCGGAAAAGGATTTATATTTTTTTTTTTCGATAACCCAACAGTATTTAAACAATTTAAGTGTGGGAGAGCCATGCTTCGGCACGAATGGGTCGGCTCGACCGGAGTGATACCACGGCCTCACAGAAAACCGGCGTGAAACAACCACAGTGTTGTGTTTCGCCGTGTGAGTGAGGTTACCAGAGGCCCAATCCTTCCCCAGTTCCTAAATCTCTAAATCCCTAATCCCTAATAGATCGGCAACGCACTCGTAACTCCTCCGTTGCGGGTGTTCATTGGCGGCGCTGATTGCTTACCATCAGGTAATCCGTCTGCTCGTTTGCCGACCTATTACATAAAAAAAAATCGTGTTGTTGTGTTGCTTATCAATTACATTTCTGACAACAAAGTATGGAAAATAATATTATCTACCGCAACAATTCCCGCCGCAGTAATGGCAGGCAAACCCAAACTTAAGGGGAATAGTTTATTAAAATAGAATATGAATATTGCAGAAACAATATCACAATAAAACAATATATTTTAATAAACACTGCAAATGCAGCATTTTATAAATAACTAGCTACTCTCACGCGGTTTCACCCGGTGCTCGGCTCTATTCGATCATAGCGTGATGTTTTATAGCCTATGGCACTTAGGAACATTCTAGCTATCTATCAGTGAAAGTATTTTGAAAATCCGACCAGTGGTTCCAAAGATTACCCTCTCTATACAAACATACAAATTTTACCTCTTTGTAATATTAGTATAGATTGTATTATGGTATTTTGTGACAATAACATTTGGACAGTTGAAATAACATACAAGAATGCTGAGCGCTCCAAAGCCACCAGCCAAACAATCCACAAATTACTATAAAACAAACAAACACTTACCAATCCTAGTAAAAGCCTTGGCTATTAGCTTGAAGTCTGCTCTATTTTCTCTCCCAATGTCAATAGCCTTCTCACACTCCTTTATACATTTCTCATATTCTTTCTGTTCAAAATACACAGCGGCCATATTTGTGTAAAAGGTTATATCAGTGGGATCATGTTTAACTGCATTCTGGTAGTGCATAAGAGCATTATCAAAGTCTTTCTTCTTATAAAATTCATTTCCTTGATCCTTTTCTTGTAACGCAAGTCTTCTGTTTTCTGGAAGGTCATCATACTTAGGTTTTTCAGGCTCCTGTTTCTTGGGTGGCTCCTGTCTCTGAGGCTCTTGTTTCTGTGGTGGCTCCTTGTAAATGTCATATAAAATTTCAAATGTGGTGTGAAGTCGGTCACTGTCCTTTTCTGTCAAATCTCTGTTGAATATTTTATTCAATACCAGTGGCTCCCTTGTTAGTTCCTGTAAATAAAATAAAGGGCTATATGAATCAATTACATTTCTACATAATTCAAATGTTTTTTTCTATAAGCACCTATTTTGTGGAGTTTGGTGAGAGGAAATGTCCAACTCTTACTGACTAAAAACCCCCAGTTCCCTCATCCTGCTCCAGGCCGAGGCTGCGGTACCCTACTTTTTATTTTTTTAAGAAAACTTTGCCCCACACTAGGATTTTCTCCTGTGTCGTGGTTGCGTTTACAAACATACAATTTCACATGCACATCACGCCCAGACCCGGCACAACAATGTTATATGTCAATCACAGAGTTGTTCCGTGCGGGAATCGAACCCGCAACACGTTGCGCGCCAGCCAGTTGCCCAGCCACCGCGCCAACCGTGCAGTCCGCAGTGCAGTATTGCGCTTGATCCGCGACAAAGAGTAAATGTATGAACACATTTCAAGGGACTTACACCACCCGGAAAGGTTCACTACGACGTTGGTGATCTTTTGCGCTATTTTCTTCGTTAAATCTATGGTGCAGGGCGAGAGGAACTGGGAAAGCACGAGGATCGCAAAGAACGAGGCAGAACGCGTGAAGGGACTATCGTCCTCATGCTCCAGCCGCTGCAGAAGACTCCGGGCGGTCACGCGAGCAAGGGTAGCTTGACGGCAAAAAGAAAATACCAAGCACACGTCGTGTTCCACAAGCGCTTCCAATAGAGACAGTAAACACTTACTGTCTCTATTGCAGTTGTCTTAGCAGGAGAAGTAACTGGGTCATTTTAAGTTAGTAAGAAGGGTCTGTCAGTCAGTATTAGTTAGACCAAAGCTAGAGATAGATGCTGAGGAGATGCTGAGCTCATTCTCCTACATCTATTTCTAATCTTCAGAATGATATGGGCACCTCTCACACTTAATTAAAATATTTAGGATTCAGAACTCAATAATGAGTGTCACTACAAATAAGAATTAAAATCATATACTAGATATGTATTTTCATTGTCCACAAGTAACTAGTAGTCATTTGAAAATTTTAACAACTAAATATGTAAATAAAACAGATCAATTCCTTCAGCAAATGTTAATTTATGCACAACACAAAAATACAATTAAAAAGATAGAAGAATAGTGATTCTTCTACGTACTAACACTAGCAAGTTTGCAGAATAATAATAATCAACTAAAATAAAGTGATCCACCCAGAATCACTTATTCTTTACGGAATAATACTAAGAACTAAGGATGGCAAGTAAGTATGGGTGGAAACCAGAGCTGTATGGGTGCTATTATCAGGCTCGAAATGGCCCATGCATGGCTTAATATTGAGCATTGCTATAGGCATGTTTCAACATTTAGCAGTTTTGTCTTTGCCATTATGTTTAAGAACAACAACACAAAATATGTACTAAAAGATGGTAGGTGTGTCTGATGATACGATCCTATGCATCCGCTGCATACACAGTACTATACCTGTGTAGACACTTATTTTCTTAACAGGCTTCGGTATTCAACCGTTTATACATGATATTATTACTGTCTATTTAGGAATAATTTTGGTTTAACTAACAATTTTGATTTGATTATTTGAAACTTTATATATCTATTTTTTTTCCGATGTTGGGATCACAAGGAGTTAACCACTATTTTGACGACCTTTTATTTAATAAGTAGCAATTAATTTCCCTTCCTAGGCATGGTTTCATACATTCAAAGTTCGACAACTTCTAACCTACATACTTAACTTTGACACCCCCTCTGTGGAGGACAAACCTTCTCTCCCCCCGCAAAATAGAGATATTCAATAGCTCTCAATGTATAGATTTACTATTTTTTTGAATTAAAAAATATATATATATTCAAATATTTTAGCATTCATGCTCACAAGCTGATAAAGATTAAACTGACACAGTACTATTGAAGTAAGACATTATTTAACTTACTGCGATTATTTTGTAATATTCTGGATCATTTAACCACTCCCTTGACCTTGGGTCATTCCTCAGCTTCTGACAAATCAGTTCAAATTTGTTTTTAGTTTCAAGCAACCCTGTGGCCAGCTGTTCATTGTTAGGATCCAACTCTAAACCCTTGTTGTATGTTTCTATTGCCTCTGCCCAGCGGCCTAAATACGCTAGGGTAGAAGCTTTTCGGGAGTAGCCCTTGCTCCATGTAGGGTTCAGGGCGATGGTCCGCTCGGCATCCACTAGAGCTTCTTCGAAGTTGGAAGCCTTAGCATGGGCTGCCGACCGGTTGCTATAGAGAACGTGGTTAGTCGGATCTACGGCAATAGCCTCCGTGTAGAACCTAACAGCATCGTCCAACTTCCCAGCTTCTAATGCTGCATTACCCTTGTTCTTTAACTGAGTCGCCTAAAAATATAAGACACGCTAAAGTTGTACTACTTCATATAAAATTATAGTCCTATAGCTTCGGCATAACCTCTTACCTGGTCCATAATTTGTTTTTTCTAACAATTGATTAAACAAAGATACACTTGCAATAATATATTAACTTTTGATAAACTTAATTCTGCACTTAGTAAACCCGTCTTTATTTCACTAATTTGTTCAACCACTTCAAACAAGCAATAAGCAATACGAAGTCGAAGTCTAGAACTAACTGACACATCAAATTCGAGAAAATTCTCGCTAGAACGCGAATGTGATAAAAATTAGGGGTGGACGATATACATCGATGTTTTAAAAACACTCGATGTATTGTATCGATGCATCGTATTGAACCGATGTATTGTTAATACTTCAACATCGAATACATATCGATGTTTTTCATTCGATACATCGAATACGCAAATGGGGATCCACACTGCGTATTTATCCCGTCAGATGGCGCATCGTCGATGGTTTGACTGACAACTGTCAATTTCATACATAATGGTGATTCTCAATCAGAATTATTAGGTTTTTTCTAATATGCCACTGTGTTAAGTACCAGGCTGTTTTAATCGTGGTAATCATCTTTTTCCAAAAGCTCCAGCATTGAAAAAAAGAAAGTGAGAAAGAGCTACAAAAATTATAACCTTTGTATCAACAGTTGATTCAAGTCTGTGCAAAAAACATTTTAAAGACACGGATTATCACGGAAAATCTGCTATTATAGGATTGTAGAACTACCGAACTACCGATTCTGACAAGTCCGATAAAAATGAAGAAGCATTTTCATTGTGGACTGATCACCATAAGTTAGTGCATCATAACTGGAAAATTAACAAATCTGAAAATGTTTTGTCTGACGAACTTTCAGTTTATCTCAGAACTCCTGTTGGAAGACTGAACGAAAATCCATTAGAAATCTGGAGAGATTATAAAATACAATTCCCGAAGCTGTATAAAATAGCTTTTAAGTATTTAACAATAGTTGGCACGTCAGTCCCTTCTGAAAGACTTTTTTCACAGGCAGGGCTGGTTATGACGGAACAAAGAAACCGGTTAAAGGGAAAGAGATTAAACAAACTGTTGTTTTTACATAGCATTGAAAAAAAATATTGGAATTTATAAAGAGAAAAATGTGTTGGCTCTGTGATTTTAAATTTAAATACATATGTTTTCTGATTTTCTTAATACATGTTTTTGTTTTAATTAATGCCTAACCTAAAACAATCGATGTTTAAGAAACATCGATGTATTTCTCAATACATCGGATTACCATCGATGTAACTAAACGATGCATTACATCGAAAAAAACATCGATGTATTTTTTTAATGTCCATCCCTAATAAAAATTGACTTTAAAATGTTGCCAAGTTTTTTTTTTGGAGTTTATGGCCTGGATACAAATCCTTTAAGCCATTGCCAAGTTTATTTTTTAGACAAGCACAGGTTAAAAAGAATGTGTTTTGCTAAGACTCCTCTATAGAAACACGAACTATATTATATAGTTCTTCTATTTTTTATATAAATACTCCATTTTTGAAATAGATATCGAAGTATCTATTATTGAAATTCCATTGTGAATGAATATTTTTTATGTAATTGGTCGTCAAAGGAGCAGATGGATTACCTGATGGTAAGTAATCAGCACATCCCATGGACACCCGCAACGGAGTTACGAGTGCGTTGCCAACCTTTTAGGGATTAGGGATTTGGAGATTTAGGGATTGAGGAGGGATTGGGGGTGGGGAAGGATTGGGCCTCCGGTAACCTCACTCACACGGCGAAATACAACGCTGTGGTTGTTTCACGCCGGTTTCCTGTGAGGCCGTGGTATCACTCCGGTCGAACCGACCCATTCGTGCCGAAGCATGGCTCTCCCACACTTAATATGGCTCTCTCACACTTTTAAGCAATAGAGGGCCTACACCGGCTCTATGCTTAGGGCCTCGGATACTCTTAATCCGCCACTGGCAACATTTATTTATATAGCGTAAAGTTCCATAGTAATCCAACAGTTATTTACAATTAAGTGGTTAATTGATTTCTTCAAATAAAACGTAAGATTATTTATTTTAGCATGTACTAGCTCTTACCCGCGGCGTCGCTGCCGTCATTTGACTATCTACCCTACTCTACCGACCCTACTCTATCTACCCTACTCTACCTACCCTACTCTATCTATCCTACTCTACCTACCCTACTCTACCTACACTACTCTACCTACCCTACGCCGTACGCCGGGATGTCCGAAGGTGAAATTGGGATGGCGGAATCAAATCGTGCAATTCCTGGGCACACTCTCCAAAATGCATCCTACTTTTTCTTTATTATTTTTACTTTTTTTTTTATTGTTCCCCTCTACTTTTCTAACATTTTCTTTGATAAAAACCTTCTCCTGACAATAACAAACACAACAAAAAAAGAATTAGCAAAATTGGTCCAGGCGTTGTTGAGTTATGCGCTTACCAACACATTTTGCGATACATTTTTATATATAAGATATAGATTATAATTGTCAGTACAGGTGTTTTTGTCTTATCTGTCACTAGCCTCCGCCCCCGACTTCATATAAAAGTAATGTATTTAAACAATGTACTTCAAACAAAACCTATTTTTTTAAAATACAGCCATAACGAAACTTAATATACTAGATTGACAACGAAAAAACATCTAAGATAGATGTTTTTTGCGCGGTTAATTTTTTTAATACAAATCAGTCCTGAGTCTCATCCTCTACAAATTTCATACACATTACCTTCCTTTCTGCTTTACTGTCAATGTTATGTAATGATCACTGGCAGCTTTATAATAGACGCCCATCTCTTCTCTAAAGCCCTCACTAAACCAAAACCAATATCATGGTTTATTTTTAAGCGTCCCAGTAGTAGTGACCGTACAACATTATTTTTATTATTATTTTAATTTCGTATTTCGCATTTGGCCGTTAACCACGCCTGCTGGTAATGGTAAGCAACCTTTTCAGTCAGGCCTTGAAAACACCCAGGTTTATATTCGGAGAACAAAGAATTCCAATCTTTAGCTGAAATTTCCTCACGATGTTTACCTTCACCGTATGGCAGAGGTGTTTAAATAATCATAGAAAGTACATATAACTCGGAAAAAGTCACATTGGTACTTGCCAGATTTCGAAACCACGCCCTCATGCATGAGAAGCGGGCTCCTTAACCTCCGGCCACCACGACACAAAGCAAGCACTCACTTATGATTTATTTTGAACTTAGAAACTACTATTGCAACAATTATGGTAGATTGCTTGCCTAATTTATTTATTTATTTTTAGATATGAAAAATAACTAATTGTAGAACTGCACACACTGAGTCTGTAATTACACCAGCGTTGTAGGTAACAACTGGTTAACTCCTTGTTTGTGGCCCCGGCACAACTTCTGGCTCAAAGGGTGGAGTGAGGGCACAGCTACATGAAAGGTTATTTGCATGAGACTCATAGCTCTCAGCACTAAAAGCTCCTAAATCCACAAGTTTACCTGCCTCAATCATGCGTTTGTTGAGTTGTGATCGGGCAGATTCATATTTTTGGAACATATCATTTATTTAAGAACATTTCACGTTGTAAAAGTTCTTGTTGAAGAGCCTGAATGTCTTTGTCATATATGACCCTACATTGTTCTAAATCACTTTTGCATGATTTAAGTTCCTGAAATAGATTTAATTTTTGTTTTCGTAAATAGACATTCTCATTAATTATCAATTTGTTTTATTAAGTGATTGTGTTGATCTATCAGGTCCGTGTGGCATGAGTATGTGTGAGTGATACCACGGCCTTGCAGAAAACCAGCCTAAATCCTTCTCCTTCCCCAATCCCTAAATCTCCAATGGCTCCTCTATTGTTGCGGGTGATCGTGGTAATTAGTCAGTTCGTTTGCCGTCGTATCATAAAAAAATGTACCTATTTATTATTATTTGTATGTCATGTATATAAATACTTAATTAATATTATTTATAAAGCAGAGGAGTTTATTTGTTTGTTTGAACGCGCTAATCTTCGGAATTTTTGTTTGTTAGTCCATTTATCGGGGAAGGCTATAGAACATCATGCTACGATCTGAAGGAGCAGAGCAGCGGGTGGAACAGCGCGGGAGTAGCTAGTTATTATTATTATTGTAGAACTATCCTGTTTGACCCTGTTACTACCCAACCACAGAAATATATATATACTTAAAAAATAGTTTTACGCATTACCCTGACCCACCTCTATTTTTCTATAAATTTTTACACTTGGCATCCCTATCATCGTCATTATTTATACATTCTATTTAATCTGTGCATCGGAAAATGTCTCCTGAGTTGTCCTAAGCAGCATACATAGGGGTGTTTTATTTTATTTTTGACCAGCTTTCTTTAAATCTAAATCACAGAAAATCTATTCAGCACCCACCGCAGAGTTGTGAATATAGTGAATTTATAATTGCAGCCATGACAATTGTGTAGTAGTGTCGCCGTTAATCATTTAATAGGACCGACGCTTGTCACGCTAATCATTATTTTGTAGTGATCGTAATTGGTTCCTAGACGTTGTGGGGAATACCAAGTGGTACCTGGAATCGATGGCTGCTTGAGTGTTTCCGTAGTGTGATTACGTAGGGGAGAGTAGCTGCCCCTGTTCGGTGACTCATTCGCGGGCTGGTACGTTGCAAATCATGGATACCGATGATGGAGAATCTTCGAGCAGCGGCCCTATGTCCAGTCTGAACAGCCTGTTCTCGTTCACAAGTCCCGCCGTTAAAAAGTTGCTGGGTTGGAAGCAGGTACAGTAATAAAATCACCCTTATCATACAAGGTTTCTCTTGTTGTTTTAAGTAAGGAGTTCCTCATTGTTTTTCGTTATTCCGTAAGCTCTAAAAGTAAAAGGAAGTAGGAAGTTGAGTTAAAGTAAGCCTACCCAAGACATTTTAATGAAAAATTATGAATTTCATTAGGTTCATAGGCTTTTCAACAAAGTTTCAATTTATGTAAGATACTTATTGCACATTGTAGTCTGAGTTCTGGCTGCAAGTTGAAAATTCAAAGTCAAATACTATACCTACAGATTTAATACTGAACATAGTGCTCTTCAATTCATGTACTCTCTTTATCATCAGAGAGCAGAGAGCAATATTTTTCCATTAATTTAAATAGAAATTAATTCTTTCATGTAATGCACAATTAAAAACAAGTGATTTAAGGTTCAATTAAAGTTTTCCAAGTCAATTATAAAATTGGATAGAATTCAATCTTTTTGCAAGCTCACATAAGTATATTAATTGCAAGAAATTACTCAATGGTTTGTTTCACAATTTTGTGTTCCTTTAATTTTTTTTTCAAATCAAAATAATTTATTTGTTGAACATAGGTAGATACTTATTTAGTTACAGATGATGTTGTACTCTTAAATGAACGCTATGTCAAGCCGTCACCGGCATACGAATACAATTTTACAAACAAAAAAAAAATACACTTAAAATTAATATTATTCTATACACTATATACTATAATTACACGAAACCTCCAAAAACACAATTAATTCTAAAAATAATCTAAGATAAAACATTAAAATGCATCAGTTAGGTACTCGTTTATAGTATAATATGATTTTTCAAATAATAGTTTAAGTAAGGCTTGTTTAAAATCATGGACATCACTTTTTTCTTTAATTGATCTAGGGATCTTGTTATAATATTGTTATGCTTTATGCTTTACATATGTGGAACATTTGTTAAAAAATAAATATTTTTAAATACAACAGGGTTTGAACCTTTAATTTTAAGAAGTAAATATTATTAGAGTACATAATCTGAATGTAAATTTTAATTACCATGCATCCAGTAGTCCAATCACAAATTGTCAAGACAATGTTTGTATCCTTAACTAGCTACTCTCGCGCACTTTCACCCGCTGCTGGGCTCCATTTAATCATAGCCTGATGTTTTATAGCCTATACCACTCAGGAATATTGTAGCTATCTATCAGTGAAATAATTTTGGAAATCCGGCCAACAGTTCTAAATATTACCCCCTCCATACAAACTTACAAATTTTTCCTCTCTATAATATTAGTATAGACTAAACCAATTTTTATAACATTTTTAGACTAGCATAATAGGAAAGTTATGTTGTAAGCATGATTGAATGATACAGCAATCATATTGTTAACATTCTGTACACCGATTGAAATCTCAAATGTAAACAAACATACAAATCATGAATTTTGATTTGACACACTCTAAGAGTGTTTATACCATTCAGGCAATGTGTGATTAAAACTTTTTAGACAACAACTTTTTAGACTTCATTAAATTAATAACTTAACTAACTTATCTTACAAACATGTAAATAACTAGTAACTTAAAAAGGAACCTTTCTTTTCGGCATTCACTGACATTTAGCCCCCGTCATGCCTAGTGGTAAACAAAAAAGCAACCTATGATGAAGCATGCCTACCCATAGGCAACCTATTCACTCGGGCCTTGAAGACTGGGAATGACCTAATCTTAAAATATATTTAAGTGATTATTTTGAATAGCAGTCTTGTTGTATTGAGTTAATAGATAATTTATTCCATAACTTCACATTAAGCATAATTTTCAAAGCTAAGTATTAAGAAGAAATGCTATATTCTTACATAAACATCCTGAGAAAAAAACTGATCACTCTATGATACACTAGCTACTTTCGCGCAGTTTCACCCGCTGTTCGGCTCCATTTGATAATAGCGTGATGTTTTATCCTAATCCTAATCCTAACTAATATTATAAATGCGAAAGTAACTCTGTCTGTCTGTCTGTCTGTCTTTTCTTCACGCCTAAACTACTGAGCCGATTTCTGTGAAATTTGGTACAGACATAGTTTGGAACTCGAGAAAGGACATAGGATAGTTTTTATTCCAAAAATCTGCAGGAAGTAACTTTTCCACGTGAACAAAGTCGCGGGCAAAAGCTAGTAGCCTATATCTCGGAGTGTGTCCCCACACTCCGAGATATTGTGGCTATCTATCAGTGAAAGAATTTTGGCAATCCGAGCAGCAGTTCCAAAGATTACCCCCTACATGCAAACTTACAAATTTTAGCTTTATAATCTTCTTTATATATAAAAATGGATCGCAAAATGTGTTAGTAAGCTCATAACTCAACAACGCCTGGACCAATTTTGCTAATTCTTTTTTTGTTGTGTTTGTTATTGGCAGGATAAGGTTCATATATAAAAAAAAATATTAGAAAAGTGGAGGGGAAGATTAGGAAAAAGTAACCCTTTGATAGCGAAATGGATAAAAAGTAGCCTTCATATTAAACCAGGATGTCACCTATCTGCATACCAAATTAGTCCATCTGTTTTAGCATGAAAGAATAACAAACATACATTCGTACATTCTCACAAACTTTCACATTTATAATATTAGCAGTAGCATCATCATCTTCCTGCTCTTGTCCCGTTTTATTTGGGGTCGGCGTAATATGTTTTTTTTTTTCCATTCTGTCCTGTCACCTGTCACGCTATCACTGACTCCTCTGCCTTCCATATCATTTCTCACCCTGTTCTTCCATATTTTCTTTGATCTCCCTATTCCTCTCCATCCATCCAAATTTATACTCATGGCTTTTTTTGTAACATGCGTTTCATCCGTCCTTTTCATATGGCCATACCAAGACAAACGGTTCCCTTTCAACTTTTCAGTAACTGGCGCCAGTTTCAAACTTCCTCTAATATACTCATTTCTCACTTTATCCATTCTCTTCACACCACACATCCATCTCAACATTCTCATCTCTGCTACATGCAATTGCTTTTCATCCGTCTTTTTCAGAGCCCAACATTCTGACCCATACAGTAGGACAGGCCTTGTCACTGACTTGTAGATTTTACCCTTCAACCTGAGGGTCGCAAGTTCTCTGTGGGTAGCAAGTTGTTCCAGTGACCTGTCGCCATTTCATCCATCCCGAGTTGATCCGATGTGCCACGTTACGGTCTATATCATCATTACCTTGGATAAGCGACCCAAGATACCGAAAATCGGAACAGGTTGGTATAAGCGTTCCGGCTAGAGCTATGGGCACAGGACTAGAGAGACCGTCAAAATCGCAGGCACTCTGTTTTAGTTCTGTTCAATTGTAGGCCAACACTCTCCAGTCTTTGCCACCACACCTCCAATCTGCTATGGACCTCTAGGGCACTCTCGGCAACCAGCACAATATCATCGGCAAACAGCATACACCAGGGAGCCTCTTCCTGAGTGTCCGACGTCAGAGCGTCCTTTATTATCAGGAAGAGGTACGGGCTGAGAGCCGACCCTTGGTGTAAACCGACAGCCACATTGAACTTGTTTGTGGTGCCCGCTGCAGACCGGACTTGTGTACTGCAACGACTATACATTGATCGGATCAACTGCACATACTTCTCAGGCACACCTTTCTCCTTAAGGGCCCACCACAGAACCTCACGAGGTACCCGGTCGTATGCCTTTTCGAGGCCAACGAATACCGTGTGCAAGTTTTTGTGTGCACCTCTGTATTTTTCGCACAACTGGCGTATAGCAAATATGGCATCCGTTGTAATACGACTAGGCATAAAACCGAATTGGTTCTTCCCTCTTCTTTCTTCTCTCAGCCGCCGTTCAATAACTTTCTCCCATACTTTCATGGTATGCGACATTAGCTTTATTCCTCTATAATTGTTGCACTCAAGCACATCACCTTTGTTTTTAAAGATGGTCACCAAAAAGCTGTTGCACTATTCATAAGGTATGGCTTCTTCCTGCAACAATTTATTGTAGAACAAAGCCAACCACACCCATCCATCTACTCTTAATAACTTCCACACCTCAACTGGTATTCCATCTGAGCCAATGGCTTTACCATTTTTCATTCCATTTACCGCTACTCTGACTTCCTCCATACTAACCATTCTCGCTAACCCCACATTCACTGGTTTATTCGCTAAAACCCCACTGCAATTATTTTCCTCATTCATAAGTCTTTCAAAATATTCCTTCCCTCTCTCTTTGATTTTGTCATTATCCGATAGAACAATTTAACTTTCATCTCTTACACATCTTACCTGGCAAACATCCCTCGCCTTTCTTTCCCTCATTCTAAAGAGCCGGTACAGCTTTTTCTGGCCTGCAGGACTGTCTAATATATCATATAGTTTGTCCTGGGCTTTTGCTATTGCCACGGCTTTCTTTGCTTTTTTCTTTAAAGCATCAAACTCAATCTTTTTTTAAGCTTTCAAACTAACATTATCTGTTTCTACACACTGCCATTCCTTGAGCTTTTTTCTTCTTTTCTTTCAATACATTCTGAACTCCTGTCGACCACCACCATGTATCTCTATCTATTCTGCCCTTTCCTTTCGCCTCTCCCAAAATATCTTTCGCTGCATGCCTTATACACTCAGCCATCTCATTCCAGCTTTCATTTATACTTCGATTATTCATGTCTCCTATCTCTATCATTCTGTCCGCCACTCGCTCTCTGAACTTCTTCGCGCAGTCATTCCTCTCTAGCCTGTGCCATTTTATTCTAGGGGGCGGACGCTCTTTGGTTTTCCTACAATGAATTTGAACCACTGATGTCTCGCAACACAGACTCCTAGTTCATAACTAGAGATACTAAGTCTTTTCCTGGCAGCACTTTGCAATCCATCATGTACTTTAAGTGGTTGCACCGAACTACTATTTGCGTCTTATGATTACCACTTTTATACGTGGCCAGGTGTTCATCTTTTTTCTGAAACCACGTAATGGCTACTGCTAGATCAAATGCAGTAGCGGATTGCAACAGTGTCTCTCCTTCATTGTACCCCATCCGCCATGTACTCTTTCAAACATACCTCCAATTCTTCCCACATGTCCTTTAAAATCACCTCCCACTGTCAACTCCTCATGTACAGGGATGTCCATTAAGGCCGTATCAAAATCCTCCCAAAACTTCTCTTTCACCGTTTCATTACATCCTACTTGTGGTGCATACACACTAACTACATTCAACATAACATTCTCTAACATAACTTTCACAACTATAATTCTATCATTTATCCTATGTACTTCCATCACGCTTTCTTTCAATTTGCTATCTAACACTACTCCTACGCCGTTTCTTTTGCCATCACTTCCACAGTAATAGAACTTGTATCCTTCACCAATTTCTATCACTTTTGTTCCTCTCCATTTAGTCTCTTGTAAGCACGCTTCGTTTATTCGTCTTCTTTTCAATACATCCGCTAACTCTCTGGCCCTTCCAGTCCCGACATTCCAACTTGCATACCTCAATCTAATTTCCCGAGCTAACTTCTTACGTTGCACCCGCCCCTGCGCGTCGCCTGCGGATATTAAACTTATAAAACATTTATAAGTTTAATAGTTAGTAATACTTGAAATATTATAAGTTTAATAGTTGTAGTATACATAGCGTATGTCCAAAACTCTAGAAGAGGTATTTAAAAATTTTGCGCCTTGCTGGAGTACGAAGGATGTGGTAATCGGTAGAGAAGATTAACTAACCTCTATTTCTCCGATCTCCTCACCTATGGCACTCAAACTTAGATTTAATATCAGAACTTCTCAATTAAGTTTTACCAGCGAGCCAGGGAGTGTATAATCTTTCTATTATCTGACAAAACAAGGAAAGCACTCTGCGCTTTATAACTCAAGTCTTTGACGTTAGTCAAAGTGGAGCCTACTCAACGAGAACAGAAGTCGCGACAGGCCCAGAATGAGATGACCACTTCTGACAAGATATATCTGAAAATCATACTTAAAATGTTCAGTAGATTACTACGTTTTCCCTTTGTAACTTGCTAAATCTATAAGATTCATTTCATTCCAAAGAATCGATTTAGTGTCTTGGGACATTCCCAATACTGGGAACTTATAAAAGCAATAATAAATCATATATTGTTTTCTACATGAGTCAGCAACTAGTCAATAAGTTCCTAGGAACGTATGAGTCATTGTTTAAAAATATGTTGTTTATTATATACAATCAAGATTATTGAACGACTTTTTGTTAAATTTTTTTGACAAATAATTTCCAAATTTATTATTATTAGGGATATAGGGGCAGAAAAAGCGACTCTGTTTTATATTATGTATTGTAAATAGTGGTTTATTTATTTATTGCATTTAATCGATTTGGTGGTGCGTCCATAACTTTCAGTTTTATTGTCAAGTAGAATGATGTACTTACTTTTAACCCTTCGCATTTTTATTGGTTGTGTAACAGATTTTTTGAATAGTAATTAAGTTACTAACGTGAGACGTATAAAATGAATTGAAAGTAACCATTTACGTGAATGAACTGAGAAAAGCTGTATTAGTTTCAATTCAAAACGGGAGTCTTCTTCATGAGCAGCATGAGGGTCTCTACGTCGCGACGTCGCGCAGGCTATTCGAGCTTTTCTCACCCGAGTAAGATGTTATTTACAAAAAACTCTGTTACCTGAGTTATATAAAACTTGTATTATGGAAATTACATAAAGTCTATCATTATTTTCATTCCAATTATGGGTTAGCAAATAATAATATCAGTCCAGAAATAATGCAGATCTCTCCCTAGCTACAACGAGAAGTTTGCTATAAAATGACGAATTCTTAACATATAAACGATTCATTAAACATTACCCGCCCACTGTTAAACTTGCAAGAAATGACATGTTTAGAATTATTGATTAATTTACCACTATATCTAGTTTCCTTCCTTACGCGAAACCTGAATGTAAATTGGAAAATAACAAAGACTACTAACAAATGTACTTCTTACTGCATCTAACTAGACTGTCTTTGGCTGTACAGCAATATTAAGGGTCACAAAAAAAAAATTGAGTCGCATTCTCTAAGCCCCTATCATCATCATCAGCCTGTTGTCGTCCACTGCTGGACATAGGCCTCCCCAATTGCACGCCACTGAGCTCGATGTTCAGCTCTTCTCATCCAACCACTGCCAGCCACCTTGCGGATGTCGTCAGTCCAACTAGCTGGAGGGCGCCCTACACTACGTTTGCTTAGACGTGGTTTCCACTCTAGAACACGGTTACCCCAGCAGTCATCGGTTCTTCGACAGATGTGACCTGCCCACTGCCACTTCAGTTTGCTAATCCTTTGGGCTAAGTCGCCATTCGTAGAGACAGGCCATTTCGTTTTCTGCTGTAAATTGGAGATGTATTCTATATTAAATCTCTTCCAAAAATGTTGCTTGATACATTCCATACGGTGGTAGCGCTCCAGGCGATTGATGCTGACATCAGTGAATTGCGGATTTGGAACAGACATTAGCGAGCGTCCAATAAGGAAATGAGAGGGAGTAAGGGTAGAGAAGTCGAAAGGATTAGTAGAAAGAGGAGTAAGCAAAATTGCCTTTATTTGAGTTAGGCATGTAGCCATTTCTTCGTAAGTGAAATGAGTAAGTTGCAAGAGTCGTTTTAAGTGGTGCTTAGCTGAACGAACCGCTGCTTCAGCGATACCGTTAAAGTGCGGCGAGTAAGCCGGTTCAAACCTGAACTCTATTCCCTCGAGCGATTTCGAATGCAACGTCAGAGCCCTGCAAAAATGCATACAATTCATTACACGCTCCGATAAAGTTTGTGCCGTTGTCAGACAAGATAGTACGTGACCTACCGCGACGAGAGACAAAACGGTTTAAGGCCTCTTTAGAGAAGTCTGTTACAAGTTCGAGGTGCACAGCTTTTGTAGTCATACATACAAAAATGCACAGGTAGCACTTAATTAGTCTCGATCCCTGACCTTTCCGGTCAGATATCAAAACAGGCCCAGCATAGTCGACACTACTATTAAAAAAGTGAAATTCTAAATTGCTTCTGGTGTTGGGTAACTGTCCCATGATCGGCTGCACATTTTGAGCTTTAAATGTAAAACACTTGAGGCATTTATTTACTGTCACCTTAGAGAGATTTCTGTCTGTTGTTAGTAGTCTTTAAATTGTGAAAAAATCTTAGAATGTAAGCCACGACACGTTGTAAATAGTAAAATTAGATTAGATTTATGAATTAATTGTATATAATGAAAGTAGATGTGAGATTGCTACTAAAATTGTTATTGCTATTGTGACTATCCGCTACATTAGATATCACTTCAGGTAGGTCCTGTTTCACGGGCTTATTGGGCTGCAGCGGCCACGTGTCTTCATTATTAGTTAAAAATTGCGGGCCTGACCACCAAAGTGTTGAATCGCTGATAAGATCAGCCTTCAGCCAACGGAAGACAAGGTCCGCTGGATTGTCCTTAGACGGCACGTATCTCCACTCACCACCAGAGCTACTTTCTTGAATCTCATTGACACGATTTCGAACGAAAGGCTTTAGTTGCTAAAATGGTGTAGACAACCACCCTAGCACTATTGTAGAGTCACAGCAATATTGAACTCGGTGTAGTGGCAACGTGAGAGAGTCCATGACCTTCGTTCATAACCTGGATCCCACCAGAGCCCCGCACAGTTCTCATCGTGGTATTGTAGTAGGCTTGACCGGTGCCACACGGCTTTTGGAAGTTAGCAAAGGAACAGTGACCGTACCTGAACTCTGTACCGAACGAATTTATATGCACGCGCCGTAAGCCCTTTCAGATGCGTCTGTGAATATATGAATTTCATGGGTTAAAGAATTGTCACCTATATAATCCATCGTGGAGTCTTCAAATGATTTAAACAAGGCAATGTATTCGCAAATAATGACCATGAGTCTGCTACCTCCTGCGACACTTCCTCATCCCAGTCGCATTTGTTTAACCAAAGTGTCTGCATTATTATTTTTGCATCGACGATGCAGGGACTGATCAAGGACCAAGCCCAATGGGTCAAATATTTGGCTACTTACAGACAATATATATGTCGTTTTGTTTTTTACTGCTAGATTCAATATTGATAGAAAAAAATAATTGATCAGACTTGCATAACCACTGTACACCTAACGTTTTTGAAGGAGAATTATTGTTGTTGTCTGAAAGATCGAGAATAGCATGACTTGATTATTTAAACAGTCTAACCCCCGGTTTCCGAAAGGCCGATCAATGTTAAAATCAATTTAATCTCTTGTCAAGTCATCTGATTGGTTGACTGAATTATCAACAACCAATCAGATGACTTGACAAGAGATTTAACAGGAGATTAGTTAATTTTAGCGTTGACAAGCCTTTCAGAAACCGGGTGTAAGTCCTTTAAAATTTCAGAACCATTAGATTGCCACTTTCTCAAGAATTTTAACATACGTAAGGAAATTATCCGAAATTAACGGATAATCACATACCTTAAGGATATACCTGAAGACTTTCTTTTCTTTCTTTCACTCATTTTCTTTTTTCAGGGTTCCGTAGTAAACTAGGAACCTGAACCTAGGAAACAATAAAGTTCCACTTTCTAGAGTGTTTCCATATTTCCTAAAATTATGGTTCAAAAGTAGGGGGATGCATTTTTTACACTTGTTACTATTATTTCCAACAATATTAACATTATCAAAAAATTATCTTAGTAAACCCCTAATCATTTTTAAATGCCTATCAAACAATATATTACACGTTGGCTTTGAAATAATGGCTTGTTTTATTGAATGACTCTTTATATTAATTACCTACAGGGTGATGAAGAAGAAAAATGGGCAGAGAAAGCGGTTGACAGCTTGGTCAAGAAATTGAAGAAACGGAAGGGTGCTATCGAGGAGTTGGAACGGGCGCTGTCGTGTCCTGGCACGCCGTCCAAGTGTGTCACCATTCCCCGGTCACTAGATGGAAGGCTGCAGGTTTGTATTAAGTTAATATTGTTCTTGGGAGAGACATGCTTCGGCACGAATGGGCCGGCTAAGGGTTGTGTTTCGCCTTGTGAGTGAGGATACCGGAGGCCCAATCCTTATCCTTACCCTTGATTGTTTACCATCAGGTAACCCGTTTCCTCGTTTGCTGACCTATCACATAAAAAGGACCGCTTCTGTTCAAACGCTTTTCCTTGAAAAGAACTTGCGCTAGTCACACTTGGCGAGCCCTTTTCTGACCTGACCAGTACTGTCTTCCAACAGTACCTACCGATGGAAACTGCAGATACTTTTAACACGAAAACATAATGATATTCATGAATTTTAATGTATGATAATTTTATGTACAAAAGCGCGCGAAACAGTATTTTCTCTCTGACAGCTCCGACCTAGAGAGGGTTGCGCCCGTTAAAAAACGCGTAGGGCTAGTGCTGCCCGCTCGCTTAGTAAGATTTTATTCCTATCAATACCGACAATGTTATTCATGCGTTTCGTTGTTGGCCGTAGTTTTCAGATGTACTATTTTATATTTTTATTTTACTCAATACTGTTCATCGTCTAATAATGAAACATGAATTAAAATTTCAACGTTTCGATTTCAGGTATCGCACCGTAAGGGCCTCCCTCACGTCATCTACTGCCGTGTGTGGCGCTGGCCTGACCTTCAGAGCCACCACGAGCTCAAACCCTTGGAGATTTGCCAGTACCCCTTCAGCGCCAAGCAGAAAGAAGTGTGCATCAACCCCTACCATTACAAGAGAGTCGAGAGCCCCGTCCTGCCCCCAGTGTTAGTACCCAGACATTCTGAATTCGCCCCAGGACACTCCTTACTGCCTTTCCAAAGGACGGCAGAACCTTCGATGCCTCACAATGTGTCATACTCGGGGTCTGGGTTCCCTCCTTCAGCTAGCTCGGAGCTCCCAGACACGCCGCCTCCGGCGTACTCCCCACCCTCAGACGACTCGGAACCACCTGGAGAAGTTGCACCAGTTTCTTACCAGGAGCCCCTGTACTGGGCATCCGTCGCGTATTACGAGCTAAACTGCCGCGTCGGTGAAGTTTTCCATTGCAACTCCCATTCGGTTGTGGTAGATGGGTTTACGGATCCCTCGAATAATAGCGACAGGTTCTGCTTAGGTCAGCTCAGTAATGTGAACAGAAATTCCACGATCGAGAACACCAGACGTCACATAGGGAAAGGAGTACATTTGTACTACGTCGGAGGAGAAGTTTACGCAGAGTGCCTGTCCGACGCCGCCATCTTTGTCCAGAGTCGAAACTGTAATCATCACCACGGCTTCCACCCCTCCACCGTGTGCAAAATACCTCCTGGATGCTCTTTAAAGATCTTCAATAACAGGGAGTTTGCACAACTGCTATCCCAAAGTGTTAATCATGGTTTCGAAGCTGTTTACGAGCTGACGAAAATGTGTACGATTCGCATGTCGTTCGTGAAGGGATGGGGAGCGGAGTACCACCGCCAGGACGTGACGTCGACTCCTTGCTGGATAGAGATCCACCTGCACGGGCCGCTGCAGTGGCTGGACAAGGTGCTGACACAGATGGGCTCCCCGCACAACGCCATCTCGTCAGTCTCCTAGCCGCGCCGCACACGTTCCACTCCCCCCACCGTAATTTGGTATCCGGTATTAAATTCTTTAATCTCAAAAATCATTTCAACCATTGCATTTTGTATTTTATACGTGACAAAATATTTTTCATTTTTTTAATGTTTTGTGTTGTAACAAAGCCCCAATTGGCATTTAACAATTATGCAGCTCAAACCATGTGTCCAATTTATTGAAATGTATTTTGTAAGCGTATTCTAATGAATAAAGACATTAAGGTTTACTATACTCGTCAATATAATTTATGACAAGGTAAAAAAGATATTATTGGTGTAAATAAATAATGCTTATAAACTTTGGTAATGTCAAGCACAAAAGTCTAAGTTCGCCATAAATTCTTTCGATATTGATGATATTATATTTTAGTATATTATCATAGATATATTTTTAAGATAAGACATATATATGTAAGTTTTCATATACTACACTTAGATATATTCTTAATTCAATTTTTATTTTAACTAACACACAACAATAAACAATCATTATTTCTCTTTTGTGGCTCCATAGATGAAAGAATAAATAAAATATATTGGTGTTACGGACAGTGGCATTAAATAATACAAAGAAATTTAAATGTGTCTTGAATTAATCAAATATGAGACATTTTTAACTGGAAATGCTTCGGTTTTTGTTTATAATTTTCTAAAGTATCTATACCTTCCACAAACGCGCCACAGGATTTCATTTGACATAGTATAGCGACGAATATGTGTTCTATGTATAATTAGTTGTTATTTATGATTATGTTAATACGTCACATTAGATTTTTCGACACGGTACTTTAAAAAGAGTAACATTCGAGTCGAAAAAGAAATAATTTGACAACATTTTTAAATCGTGCCATTGTAAAAGTTGACTAATTAATTTTGTCTTGTAAATTTTTTTAAGTTTATTTCGTAGTTGATTTTATTGTATTGTAATGTTTTGTTTAAAAAATTAAATAATCTCGATCGATTCATTTGGAAATGTTTTAAATGACGTTAAAATTCAATGCAATAGTTTTTAAACATGGTAGTTATTAGGAAAGACAGTTTTACTAAAAAAATATTAAAACCAAATCAAAGGGACATGTGCAGATTAATGAAAAAAAATGTGATTGATCTCAACACTATGAAATAAGAAATGATTTAGTTCCTCAAAAAGAGTGACTGGTGCGCGTCCCGCTTATAGTAGATGTATTCAATAAACTTATATATTTTCTACTACTGAAATATTGCAAACACTAATGTTTCCAACTCTTGACTAATCACCGGCGAATGAAAAATTATTTTTTAACAAGTAAAAACAACTTGAGCCTCGAAATATACTAACGTTTTATGAAAAGTATTAAACAATTTCATAAGTTCTCAAAAATGAGATACAAATAGCACCAAATTTGCTCGTTTTTACGATAAACTTGTAAGTAATTTGATAAACTTAAATCGATATTCTTTTCTTAAAAAACCTTGAAATATTATTAGTACCTATATTAAATCAATTATAAAAATGCCCATTACACATGAGAAACGATAAACGTAGCAACACTATTTATTTCATGCTTAAATAATCGCAAATTTTCTTTTCTAATTAATTGAACTAAAATCCAGTGAAAATATAAATATAAAAAAATAAGGTATTGTAAAGAATACACAAATAAAATTACTGTAGCTGAATTCAAAATATGGTTTTAAAAAGATTCTTCAGCAGTTTCGTATTTATTAACAAAATATTTATTTTGTAGCTATATATTGGTGATAAATAAAACATGGTTCAATTCGTGATTTAAAGTATAAAATAAACTTAATTAGGTTTCACGGCAGTACAGGTGTCGCACATGAGTCCCAGACTTAACTTGAAACTGTTCGAGTAACTCGTCAAACAGTTACGTTCGTAGGCCTAGTTAAGTTAAATATATTATCTCAAGATAGCTGTATTACATAAATGTTAATGTAGCGCCAACCATAGCGATTTTCATATACATTAAAAAGTTATAAGTAAGTGTGGCCTATAGATATGTGCCTAATTGTAGCATAAATAGCCGTCCACTGAAGTAGCTGGTTATTTGTATGGAACTTGTCAATGTTTTTTTTTTAATATTATAAAAGTAATAGTGTTCGGTATGATGACAATATTTTATAAGTTCTTGACAGTGTCATCTATTAATTGGTATCCACTTGTTATGTATGTTTACATTTATTTTGTAAATAATCCCTTGATTTTATTGCAAAATTGATAATGACAGGGTAATTGTTAAGAAATGAAAGTGACATTTGACAAAATTTATACAAAAATCTGCTACATATACATTGAAGCATACTCTTCAAACAACCTTATAATTTGTTTGAGTGAAACATGAAACGTGGTAGTATTTTAATATAAATAAGGGTTCCTAGTTTACTACGGAACTTAAAAAACTAACCCGGCTTCACAAGGGCGCAATGTTGACATAAAATTTTGCCTCTACTTAGTGAAGGTTGTCAAACAAAACAACGTCTTTCTTCAATCGTTCTATCTATTGAAAAACCTCATCAAAATCCGTTGGATGGTTTTAAAGATTTAACCACAGATAGGGTATAGGTTTAGTAGTAGTAGACTTTGTTTTATACTATGTTGCGATAATGAATCACCGAGTTCAGAGCTTAATACTAAACCTATCTGTCCATACAAAAACATACTCGCATTAAGCCTGTGGCATCAAGATTTTAAAGTTTTTTTATTCAAAATGTATCATATTTACACTATGGTCACTGGAATCGATTCGTTTGTTTAAACGGAACAAATATAATTTCAAGTTTCACTAAAACAAAGTATAAGGTTGTATAATATATTTTCTTTTACAAAATGTTATGTCATATAATATTGGCCTGTCTTAATACACACAACTTTATACAAAGTTATTGTTATAGTAGTGCCTGTAAAACTTTGAACTTCGACGAATGCCTTATTGTTTTAATTATTATTATTACAATTGAAAAGTATTCATATTATTATATATGGAAAATTATATAATACTGCATTTTTGTTTTGTTTTTTACGACTGTAATTTGACCGTAATTATAATAGTGCCTATTATTGTAATAAAATTAGTATAAATAAAATACCATTTGTATGCCTTAATTTTTCGACTTCATATTTTAATTAGCGAGGTTGTGCAAAATGCAGTAGTTTGTATGAAGAAGAAGATTTATAATTATAACAAGCCTCAAGAAATAATTCACGTGGAAAAAGGCAGATAAATTTGATACTTAGGGAATTTTAGTCCGTGACTGTTTGCACAACCCCCTGTATATGTCTGTTAAAACGTAGAACTAATTGCTGATATTACAATGTATATTAACTATCTACTTCAGGACGAGTGTACTGAATGATTGGCTTACTTTAAATCTAATCAAAGCAAGTATCAACTACTATAATAATAGTGCATTTTCACATTGTCTTCTTGCAGATAACGTGACCTGTAATATGTATTTGTTTAAAAAAAATAAGTCTTTCTTTCGGTACATTCGTGTCTTAAATCTTTAAAATACTAATAATGGTTATGATGTGCGTTAAAAATGGAGTGACATGTAAACTTGTACATAATGTTTTACAGCGTGGTAGTGTGCTCCTTGTTATGTAGTTTTCGTTGCGAGAAATTTTGGATTTGACCTTTTTGTGTTATTTTAACAAGTGATTCTTGGGATCCCCTAACTCTTTTTAAAGTAGGGAAATAAAAAATAATAGGTACTTAGGTCTATACAATTATTTTATAAATTGTATGATAAATGTTGGTTTAGTCTTGAATAGTGAAAATTGTATATAGGTACTTACCTATGAAACATTTCCTAATATTTGGGGTAAAATGCGTGTATTTCTAATGCCTATAATAAAACGGCGGCATGTCGTGAGGATCTTTAAATCTGGAGACAAATAAATTTGTAAATGAATTCTATTAAAAGTTGTCAAATCCAAAATGTGTCCGTTTGTTGATTTTGTGTCGAAGTGGCTGTAAGTGTCGTGTTGTCGAGTTTATATGAAGTGAGTTTATGTGAGTTTTAGACTTTGTTCGCTGTGGCGTAACCTGTTCAGTACGCACAAGTGCATAAATCATATTCAATAGTCGCCAAAATTGCTGGTAAAAAGACATAAATTGCTGTGACAATTTGCTTGTCCAAAAATTTTGATGTTACGCCACAGTGTGCAAGGAGCTTTGTGTACAAATTGTGTATGTTTTCTTTCGCTCTATTTACTGTAAGATAGTTTAAGCGCATAGAAGCCATTGTTCATGTAATTTTTAGTATATTTTTTCGCTGTTTAGCAATTAATAAAGTTTCTTTTATTGATATCAGTTTTGTGTTTTCTTTTGCGAATTAACTTTAAAATGTTCAGAGCATCAACATGATCGATTTTTAATAGGAAATGAATTCAACTTTAGTGGCTTAAATGTATAACATTGTGTTAAGTAATAATTGACGAGTAAATAGTAAAAGCAACACCCAAATGTAATATTGACATCTTGCACCACATCAATACCATTTTGTTGCAATGCGGTAGGAACTTTAAATTGTGCCACTTAATCATACATAACACTATACGTGTAACCAGTGAAATAATATGCAATTATCGGCTACTATTTCGTATTGGTCTGTGCGACGAATACCAATGGCTGCGATGTCATGGCCGCTCGCGCACGCGCGTTGCAACCTTAATGTAGTGAAAATTTGGCGTAGGTACAGTCGCCAAGAATTTTCTGCAGATTCTATTGTTGGTTTGCTTTGATTGGCATGTGAGGATATTTTGTATTACAACGGTGTTTGTTTTAGTATTGTGTTTTAAAATACCTATTCAGCACAAAACACCTATTTCCTAGAAATAGGGACATCTATCCAATATACCATACCTATATCTGCCACGAGGAGTATTATTTTGAGGAAAGTTGGACTAATAATTTCTAAATGTAAGTTTGAAATCGCCAACCCGCATTGAGCAAGCGTGGTGGTAATCTAACCTTCTCCGTATGAGAAGAGGCCTTAGCTCAGCAGTGGGCACTTATATGTTGATGATGAACGTCTCTAGTTTTGCGGGTGTTAATTGACGGCCACGACCGCTTACATTTTTTATGGGATAAGACTGCAAACCATCATATGGATTGTCTGATGGTAAGCCATCGGCGCCGCCCATTAATACGAAGGCTCGTTTGCCGGCCTATCACGACAAATATTGCGCTTGACCCGCTACCCCGTCTGAGATTTCTTCAACAACTATTCGTAGGTACCTAATTTTCTACCAAGCAAGGTTAAGTATGAAAAGAGGCTAATGATTCTTGCCGGATGGCAATGATACCAAGTTATCACCTGGTCAATGGGAGTCTGCTGTGTTGTAACATGCACAGATTGCTACATTGCACTAGTTTTACTGTTTTATGTTGTTTAAGTAGGTAATATTAAGCCATCACTACGGGTACAGTCATATTTGTGACTACTTAGCTAATTTTTTCCTACTCTTATTGCGTAAGTCGCCAAAAATAAGT